TTTTACGTTAAATATTTAACACATTCATGTGTTAATTTAACATATTGCTGTTGTGTCAATTGAACTCAAATGTTAAATTATTAAAACAACGAAAAACAAGTAGAGTTGTGCAAATTAGAAACTTGCACATTGCTTCCTCATTATTTTATCTTACAAAGCTTAAGCTGCTTTAAGCATGTGAATTTTTCAATTTTTGCTTCCTCATAGAGGAAGCTTTGTGAGCAAAATAAAAATTAAAATGAATTCTTTCACCGATCCTCACTAAATTCAATATCAAACATCCTTTAATAATATTCTATCCATGTAAAAAAGTTTGATCCAATATCTCAAATTTTCTGAAAGTTACAACGTGTACAGACATTTCTCAAAAAATTCAAAATTTTATAAAAAATGAACCCTTTCACCGATACTCACCAAATTCAGTACCAACCATCCTTTAATAATACTCTATTCATATAAAAAAATTTAATCCGATATCTAAAATTTTCCGAAAGTTACAGCGTGTACAGACATTCCTCAAAAAATTCAAAATTTCCTCTATGAGAAAGCAAAAGTGTAAAAATAACATAATGTGCACATATTTTTAATTTTAATTTTTTAACAATAGATATGTTCCTTATTATTAGTGACAGGATTTAAAATTTGCAGAAAAAATGTTGATTTTATTTTATAATAGGAGTGAGAGTGACTACCGTCAACTTTTTTTCAGGTTAATTTTATCATTAAAAATATATTTATTTTATAGAAAATTTATTTCAAATTGCTATAAAGTTTGCATTTATTTTGTGTTGAAATATTAAACATAGTACTGGTATCACCATTTAACATATCCGTGTTATAAATTAACACAAAAATTTGTGTGGATCGTTTGGGACATGTGATATATGTTAAATTTAAGCCAAACTTTACACAGGGTGTCTACTCAAATCTTGTAAAAAGATTCCCCAAAAATTCTCTGATCTTCCAGGTATTTTTTGTTCAAAATTCCAGGTGAAGGGAATATTTTGAAGATTTTTTTTGGTGCAACTTCCTAAAATAAGTTTCTTTATTACATGCGTTTTCTAATGACTAAAAATTATAATAGAGAATATGTATTGCATATTCAATATTAAACATATATAAACAAAGAAAGACAGATATATATTTATAATATATTTTAAATAAAATAATTCACACATACTTGACTTGTCGACTGCTTACAATATAGGAATAAAATTATCAGAGGATTTTTTTAAAAATTCTCTGAATGCCACTAAAATTCCATGAAAACCCTGGTTTTTCCAGAGACAAAAGAAATCCTTGAGAATTTCAGGTTTTCCATGTTTTTCCAGGAAAGAGACACTCCGTTACAACAATGTATCATTGTTGCCAGACCAACATGATCGGCAAAAAGAACAAATCCGAGAAGAATCGATCGGAAAATCGTTCTCGCCGCCATATGTACATGTAATGTGACATAAAAATTACCAAGTACAGTGACAAATTCGACGGTGGCCCCTGTCAAAGTGACCGACGTCAAGTGTCAAACGCAAAAAAAACGTGTTGCGACACGACGTCCCGTCATCCCTCACGTATATTTTCGTTAATAACGATACAACAAGCGCAATTAACGAACGTTTCGGCAGCTTCTTGGGGAGTTGCCATGTTCAAAGATCGCATACATTGCTCTTCCAAGTTTGAATCTCGCGGCTCGCGACAGATTCCTGATTTATCACGCGGCTCCGGCTGGTATGCTTATATACGTGGTCGATATCGCTCGATGAGACCGCGGGAGAGGGGGAAAGAATGACAAAGGGGGGGGGGGGAAGCCGAGGGGGAACAATGCGCGACGATATCTCTCTCTCTCTCTCTCGTATGTACAAACATACAAGCGACATACAAGCGATTGCGAGATTGCACTTACCGGCCGCGGATCTGGCACCGTTTTTCCCATGATGCCTGCGGTACTTCTTCGCCGTTGCAGCCCGATTCTTCAACAACATCGTACACGCACCCGCACGTAATCCTTTTTTTCGCCGGCAGCGCGTCCGCTACGCACTATTATCTGTTCGCGCGGCAGCCATATTTGCTTGCCGCTGTTCGACTGTCGGAACTAACTCTCCGAGGTCGCTCGCAGTGGTTCGTCTCCCGCTCGGCCTTTGGCTGCCGGCCATATGTCGTCGTCGCTGCGCGCACTGACGTCACGTGACTCGCACGGCCAATCGCGCGTCCAGGAGCGTAATCTCGCCCAGGGCCGTCGAGCGATGTGCGCTCATCTAAAAGCAATAATGTTACTGAAATACACGTCATTTCCCCTCGATGCTTCGGCCATTACTTTTTATTGCGGCATCAAATTTCATATTTAAAAAAATACTTAATTTATTATTCGATCAATTAAAAATTTATTTTTATATTCCTTCAATTAGCTAGAGAAAAAGATCTTTTTAAATGGACAGCGATATTGTTGGAATCCATTCTTAAAAAGGATAAATATTTAAAATTCAATACTCAAATAACTACCTTGTTTTTTTGACGATTGATTCTTTTGTTGTCATCGTCGAAGTTGTTATTTGGAAAAATTCGTAGAAAATTAAGCAATAATTTTAGTGCAAGTTTAATAGTTTTTGAAAAAAAAAAAAAAAAAAAAAATTCTTTCGTGAAAAATTTCGTTACGAGCACACGGTTTTTTTTTACTTTTAAAGAAGAAATATGAGAGAAGTGATTTTCGGGATGTTGCGAAAGTTTGATTTCAAAAAGTTTCGCTTTTAAGAAAGTTTTAGATGTTAAGATATATAGGATACACACGAAAAAATCTGAAAATGTAATCCTGATTCCAAAATATAAGAGTTAATAGAATCTTTATAAGATTGAGATATTTTGAAATTTAGAGTAAAAATTTTAAAATATTTTTCTATCATTTTTTATTCATTATTTAATAATGTAAAAAATTATAAGAATATATATATTATAAAAAAATGATAGAATAACAAAGACGTTCCTGGTGCGTGTAGGTATGGCCTTTTACTTCACACACAATCAGGTTCTCGTTTGACACACATTACCTCAACAGAAACTAAAAGAAGTATATCGAAGGCAGCCAATGCAAGACGCGATTAATATATCGCGACATCATTATATATCTTATCTCCGCTCGCATTTATATTTATATTATATATATTTATATATCTCGTTTAATTAACTTTTTTTTTCGCGCGTTCCTTATCATGAGAGACAATATCAAAGCCCACAGAAACGCGGACGCTATACCAAAAATGGACCGAAAGCCATTGCCCCGAAAAATATTAATTTGTAACGATATGATATATGCAAGAGTATATAATATTTTTCACGATATATATAATTTATATATAAAATATTGATAATAAATTACGCATTCTTATATCTTAATTTATATCTGCAAGAAAAATTTATACCACAATATATAACCGAGATTTAAAAAAAGTTTAATCAAATATTTAATCTTCCGATTTATTTTCTTTTTATATGAAAGAAGTTTAAAGCTTCTCTTTAGTTAAATTCATTTCCGGAATAGCGACTATTGGTCCACTGTATGCGTCGCCGCGCAGAAACATATTTATACATATTTATACAGGGTGTTCTTGCAAAAAGATGCGAGGTTCCATTCCTAATAGGACATCCAAAGTTCGATTGGGAATGAATTCCTAGCACCGTTACCTGCTTCAGAGAATCACCCGGTATATGTCAGTAATTCAAATCGCGAGAAAGACAGTGATGTACATACGTTACGTAGCGCCTATAATCCCATTACACAAGAATACAATTTCCAAAATATTATAACAATGATGCAAAAATAGACGTTACCCATCACTTGTTGCGACACAGCAAGACAAAGATCTTCAATTTTCTTGAAAATTCTCCGAAAATTTCTCGCCCGTACAACTCTTTACTCTCCCTTTCTCGTCAAGTTCTACGCTTAATTAGTATTCGTGCAATTAGGCGTTTTGTGAAGATTCCTTACGTAGTCTCGGAGTTAAACCTAATGAAATGTTAGACGAATTATACGTGTGTAATGTAAATTATTTAAATATCATATTAACTGTATAAATTACGCCATAGTGAAGTTCATTCATATCATTGTGTAGAACAAGGAGTAGTCATTCAAGGATTACACATAGTTTCACTAGATATTCTAATATTAATGCAAATTTACTGAAAGAAAATGAAAGATGAGAGAATTGATTTATTCGATAAAAAAGACTTTTTTTCTTATTTCATTTTTCAGACATAAGTAAAATATAGTAGAATATGATTCTGAAATTAAAAAATGTTTCTCTAGGGATTACAAATCTCTATTTGAATTTTTTTGAGCATTAGAGATTTAGGAATTTATGTAAAATGTCAAAATAAATACACGAGGAAATTAGAACCAAGTACGCGCTGACAATGCAAACGATCAAATGTTCCCAAGTTCAAAATATAAGATAACGAGATCTTTCATGCTTCTGCAAAAAAATAACAAGATTTGCAATTCGCACGTGCATTAAAAACTATAATATAATGAAAGTATAACATAGAAAATATAATATACGTATAAAAAAATATTTAATTAATTAAATTAATTTTAGAATGTAATAATTAATTTTTCATCTCAGAATCTTGGGCTCCGAAAATCTTCAATTCCCAGATTCCAAACACAATTTGTAAAATCTTGAGTTTATTAGATTATCTTAAAAAAAGATCAAAGAATGATGGAAATATTTCCTCTATCGTGTCTGATAACGTTATATTTAGTATACGAAAGATGACTGTCCTGAAAAAGACATTGCACAAGCGCTTGGGAACTACTAATCTTAATGACAAAATGCAAGCTGATAATGAAAATATCACGAATAGGATTATTATGAATTCCAACTTTTGGAGATGCAGCAGCACTATGACCAAGGCTCAAGTTCTCTAAGTTTCTTCTTTATATTCTCTCTATTCTCTTAAAAACATCCAGAGATTACTATAGATTTTTAGAGAAAATTTCGGTTTTATAAAAATAAATATCAGAAACTTTTAGAATCTAGGAATGTTTCTTGTTTCCTTCGATAATAATATAAACCTCGATGCAAAATTCGAACTTTTACAGCAACCTGAAGATTCATTTCGAAAAATATGGCCATTTTTTAAATAAAGAATAATTTATTTAAAACTGCCAAGATAAAATTAAATTTTAAAGTATTTAAAGTATTTTAAATTTTTAAGTATATTTGAAGGACTTAAATTGATGATGGCTTAAAAGCCAAATTTGACATCTCCACATAAGATGTTTTGCTTTCGCCTTTTTTAATATGTATTACAAAACTGATATTAAAAATTTATATTTTGTACCTTCCCATTTTAGTCAATTGATAAATATATAATTAAGAAAAAAGAAAAAAAAATGCCATATACAAAAATACTCTTATAGTCCCTCATTTACATTAAACATTTTTTTGTGCAACAAATAATAATTTAACCAACAACTTCCGTTTGTTCACATTTCTTTTTTGATAATATATGCGAATAAAAATTGATAAAGGCAGTATTATCCGCGCGACTATTGAGAAACTGCAGGGAGAAACGATATGTTTCTCTATCCCTCCAGTTCGAAATACAGACATGTCCGATACGCGTGATCGACCTCCCGTTTTACTTCGAGTCAGAAAATAATGGCACAAAGCGAAACGGAGTCTTGCGGGGGCATTCGAGCGGCCGTGAAGAGAATATTGGATACTTAGCCGGAGCTGGCGGTCTCATTCTCCACCGGTAGAATCGGTTGCGGTGAGTTTACGGCATTATTATCCTGGCGGTTTGCCGCCTTATTCTGTCTCACAATCTCAGCACGCCTTTCCTGCAAGAACAGAAAAAGAAAAAAAAAACGAGCGATTACAGCGATATTCTCCAATGCAATTCTGTAGATGACGAAGGTTGAAAAGTACGCCATGCTCTCTATCTGCAAGCTGATGTGACGGATGGCTAAATTTAGACAGGATGCGTTAGAGTTCTTGGCTTTTCTTGACTTTTTAGAGATGTCGGTATATTCTCAGATTATAAGAGATCCTCAGATTATCAATTTGAATTAATATATAGATACTCATTTCATTGCAAGCAATAAAGTCTAATTGTCAGTAAATAATGAAGCTCGGCTTTATGTCTTCTCTAGCGCATCCTGTATGTAAAACAATCACATGAGTTACAAATAAGGAGGGTCATGCTGGGAAAATATAATTATAAAACAAAGACTGCAAAACAAAATTTGGCAAAAGCATGGCAATGGCATTCCTTATACAAACTCAACTATCGACGTCTTCATGGTCCTAAAAAAAACATAACAAGCTATTTGCGATGATGGATGGGAGATGGAAACCGAGACAAAGGAAATAATTGATATATAATTCATAAGACTTGCAAACATTATAATTTGTTGTATATTAACCGCGATTTTAGAATCTTTTATCATATGAATTTAAATATTAAAATGTGTGTAATATACGACATATTATATATAATATAAATGCAATATATTATAATAACTAAATATAACAATATAATCGCATTTTTATTCGTTCATTAATATTTTTGAAAAAGTATCATGTCAAAGCAACTATAAATATAATAATATAATGATATAATGTCTATAGAATAAATATGTCCGCCTTTTATCCTCGAGATATAAACCAACATTTAATTTTAATTTCAATTTTTGAAGAAAGTAAGCAAAATGTATTATTCCTCAGCAAATTTCTGTTGATATTTTCTATGACATAATAATCATGATTAAAAATTTATTATAATGAGAATTTTAACTTTTTTTAAATATGTAACTTTTTTTAATGCTATTATCTTATATACAATGTGATTGTTGTTTAAGAATTAAATAAGTTGAGTATTAAATAAGAAGAAAATTGATATGAAATATATGATCCCGTCTTATTAATCAAAAGCATTGCATTGCATGGAATTTGATTTATCAAGACGACAAATTGTCACGTTTGCGGAGGATCCCGATTGTGATTAAGAATGCGGGGACAGAATTACATGGTGACGGCGAATCGCTTGCACGCGGCGCTGGATCTCTCGCTCCCGATTCAGCTCCGCAGTCGACACCCTCTTGTCAAACTCGAACTTTTTCACCAGGAGTTCTTGCGCTGCCATCTGACGTACTTGAGCTATCTTCACCGTGTTCTAAACCATCATTGCACAAACGCCCACATTCGATCAGTGCTTTTTTTCGTAGAAAAACCTCGGCAACCCAAGGTTACCCTGTTTGTTTGACATTTTTTCTTTCCATCTTTGTCTCTCTCTCAAAAGCTCACGAATATAATGCTTTGATTAAGTTACGCACGAATCTCTGTGTCTTTTGGAATTATTTTCTCTTCCTGAAAATTTTTGTTGTACTTAATAAAATTTAACAATTTGAAGCATTCTTTACATAGAGATGTTCCTCTTTCTAGCTTTATAATAAATTATTTGAATTATTTTATTTTTAACCCTATTGATGTTAAAATTTCTGAATTTTAAAATTTTGTTGACATCTTTTACATTAAATTGAAAAAAATATGAAATTTTTACTTTTTGAAGCTTTGATCCTTTGGATTCCCAAACTTTCTTCAAATTTTTCATGGCTTTCATAATAACTGACGAAATAAAAGTCTAAGTCTAATGCAAAGCTTTGCAATAAAATCTGTACATAAAAAATTCATATATCTTTTATTTATCCAAAACCGACAAAGTTTCGCAATAACTTAATATTAGAGATCGACGTACTATTCAAAACTACCACATCAACTACAAGAGCCACGTTTGATCAGAAACTTACATGATTGCGCAATTTCTCCTTCTGCTCGCGCTCGATAGTCTCGCGACGTTCACGTGCCTGCTCCAGCTTGCCCTGAATTTGACACTCCAACTGCTGTACGCGCTCCGACATTCCTTGACGTACACGAGCTACTTGCTCCTCCTGCAAGCAAGCCGCGAATCAATAACTTATGTCTATTCTTGCTGACTCTATTATCTATCTATACAGTTTGCTTGTTAAAATATGCAAAACAAAGTAGCGCAGCTCGACAGAAAAGAAAGAAAATATGATAAAATGAGAACGTTTTATAATTTTCCTTCGTAATCTTAAAAATTTTTTAGTATGATAAATCACATATTTTATAACTATATGATAACGTTTAATTCAATTAAGACTATCTGATAAATTATAGACATCGAGATAAATATAAAAAAATACTAACATGTTCCTTGAGACGATCCAGCATTCTCTTGATATTCTCATCACGCTGAGCCGCAGCAGTCTTCAGCTTCTCTTCGACGGCGCATCGCACTTCCTCGGTTTGTTGCTCGAGACTCAAGCGAGTCTTTTCAACACTCTCCAACTACAATACAAAATTACGTGTTACAACAGTTGCTTAGAACAAGACAAATCAATATTACTAAACAATTAATAGACAAATGCTTGTCGAATAATCATTTAACTACTTATAGACGTATGACTAGAACTTAATAAACTATTTATAATCAAGATAGTCAATATACATATATTTCTCCACAGGTTAAAACACATGACAAATTAATTAGATGTTTATCGAAATAATTCATTGCTAACTGTATATCTCCAATCTCTCTTACTCACATGCTCCTTTAGCTTGTTCTTTAAATCGGCGATATGAGCCTCTCGCTTCTCCTCTGTGTTGTTCATCTTAGCATCCAAGGACTCGCGAGTCGCGACCATGAAAGCCGTGCTAAGCTCATCCTTCTTGCGAGATGCCTCCTCGATCTTGCTGAGCTTGGCAGCGAGGGCGGCGAGTTTGTGCGCCTCGATGGACAGTCTTCGCTCCTCAGCGGCCTTCAGCTTATCCTCGATCGCGATTTGCTGCGTTGGACTCGTCTGCGGCGGCGATGGCGCTCTCTTAGGCACCGTTGGTTCCGCCAGGATCACCTCGTAGCACAGTCCGCCCTTGGTCTTCTCCTGGCATCGGATCTCGGTCGCTGCAAATTTTCATCAACACAACCATGAACGAGTGTTTGGATCATCGGTGCAATAATATAATCGGTGCAGAACCTATATATTAATAAATTGCTAATTAATACACTGAAATATCACGACTATAGCACTATATATTTTTAAGCACAGGAGAATAATTAATAAATTATCTTTCTAAAATCACTTTAATCTCGATAGTAATTCCAATCTCTATCGCATGTTTCTCGGTGTCTCATCTCGGAATAGCAATCCCCGCGGGCATAATTCGCGATTCCAAGAGACTTCCGGCGCCGGCTAGTTACGGAAGTATGACTCACAGCTCAAGAGCAACAAGGAGGGATCGATCGGAGAACGATCGGACGTAGGCGCCGCGACGTCTACCGTCTACCGCCACACGCACCTCTCTTCTCTTCCTCCCTCCTCTTCTTCTACCCGCCATTGCCAACCATACCGTAATTATCGTATATCAAACTGTATAATTTCACTGCCATGGTAATTTTCGGATATTCTGGCAATTATTTAATTCCGGAAATTGCAATTTACAATACTATTTTCTACTTTCTTTTTTTTTCAAAAACATCCAGAGATTACTATAGATTTTTAGAGAAAATTTCGGTTCTTTACAACCTTTTCGATCTTTGCATTCTCCAAAGCTTATGTTTCTTTTTACGTTTCTTCTTCTCTGGCTGCTATTAATGCTGAGCTCCTTGTACAAGAGCAATTGTTCTTGTACGTTAAATTGAATTGTTCCATTCCTATTAATTTTCAAACACTCCTGGATTATCTAAAAATTATTTAAGCCTTAAAGCTCACCTATCGATATCAGAAAATACTGTATCGTATCCTTTTCTTGCTTCTTTAGAATTCGCTTTATTTTCTTACGCAAGCGTATAAACGATTAGGCGCTACTTCGTGAATTAAAATTGTGAGTCCAATCGTCAACATTACATTGCCATATATACTTCCAATTTTAAATGCAAATAAACGTTCTTGTTTGTCACAACCTTGCTAACTTAAAAAAAAAAAACAAAATATTTTTTTTTCTCATTTTGTATTTTCCACACGAGCATACATTCTCTCATTCACTCTTTCTTTCTCTCTTTCTATATGTCTATCGCTCTCTCGCCCGCACTTAAAAACGCTGCACATTTCGACAAATAATTAAGAAGTCATCACAGAAGCGTCACATTATCATATTCCGTTAGACTACATGTCTCATGTGAATTATTTTGTTTCGGTTAGCGCAGTAATATTACAATGAGTACAAAATGGTTTCTCAAGCCTAGTATAAAGCACTATTATTATTATTATTATTAATATATCATTATATAATTATATGTATATTATATTTATATATAATCATGAGTGTGCTTAACATATCGGCACACATCGCACGTACGCACACATACATTCTCTTGTGTGTGCGCACGAGCACAGAGCAGCAGTTGCACCACTTAGGATCTAAGTTATAGCGATAATTATCTGTAGTAATCTATTAATTTTCATCAAATCAAATCTCCTTCTCTCTCTCTTTTGTTAGAAACAATCCACTGTGTTGCGATTCAAAACGACCATTCGGTAATTACGGTTAATCGATCGTTAGCTTTCGTCGAGACTTCTTTTTGCACCCGAGATGTTGAGATGTCGAGATGATGATAAATGCAAATAAAAAAAAGATGTAAAAGAGAATACTGCCTTCATCGTTCGTTATCCCCACTTCGGTAACGTTTCACATAGAGAGACAGAGAAAGAGAGAGAGAGAGAGAGAGAGAGAAAGAGAGAAAAAGAGCACAAGTTTAAATTATTGATCATCGATTTCTTAGATGTTTAAATAATTTCTTCACACATATAATTGAGAGATAAATAATCGGAGAATAATTAATGGAGATTTCGAAACTTTCGCGTTTTGTTACATCTTTCTTTTTTCTTGCTTGTTTCGTTTCAATTGACGAAATGAGACATAATGTAAACGGAATATTGCTGTAAAAAATTGTCAATACTTCGCTGTACATTTCCACGTAATACAATACCAGGTTGCAAATGTTCCCCGCTTGCAATGTATAATTCAGCGGCGACACATTGGCACGACCATTCTTGCCGAGGGCATTGCACCAATCTTAACAGCGTAGGTGCTCCCTTTTATTGTTAGTCCTTAGACGTAGAAGTTTTCCTACTGAATTTTCTAATAAAATTACATAGTACAAATAATAATTATATAAATAGAATTGTTTAAGCGCAAAATTCGCATGAAAAAAGAAAGATAATAATAAGTTTCTAATACTTAGAATACTTTTTAGCATTAGATTTCATAAATAATTATTTAATATAATTACATGATAAAAAAAATGACACAATATAAAATGGTTTTTAATTCTAGTTATACAGTTGAACCATGTAATTATATAAATTACATAGAATGAGGAAGAGAGAGAGAGTTAAGCTCTTATAAATAAAATTCTTTGAAAGGTCAAAATGCCTTATTGTATATATTACAGATCTTCTCTCTTATAAATCTGAAACTGATATTTTTAGCAACTATTGCTTTAGCAGACTGTCTCGTGTATCGTCGCTAGAATTTTAAAGAAGTCAGTTTGATTGGATCGAACGAATGTAGATAGGTACGTCTCAATACACCTATTGACGTCATTCGAAGATCGCTAAAGGTCTCCTAATGTTCGCTAATTTATCCGAGTACTCACTGATGAACTTCACCTTCTTCGGCTGCTTGGTCCGCGGTTTGCCCTTGCCGCTGGGTTTCTTAAACGGCGCGTTATTCCTCCTTTGTCCTTTGTTCGAAAATTCAGATTCAGTCAAAACACTCGGAAACGTCTTCGAAGGAAATTAAAGAGGAAAAGAAGAAGAAGTCGAGATTGTCTTAATTCATTGAATCATCATCTCTTATGCAATTACCATAACATTGTAATAATCAACAAAACAGTTTTAAAAAGATAGCCAATTTAAACAATTCAAATTCATCTTTACAATAAAAAATATTGATTGCATGCAATTTTAAAACTGATTATAACAATTATAAAAATAAAATAGGTTTAATTAAAAATCATTGCAAAAAATAAATGTACTTTGTTGAGGCTTCAATTAATATACGATTATTCTGGGGACAAAGTAGGTCATAAAAAGTCAAAATTGGACTAGATTGTCTAGGTAGAGATTGATCGGTGTTTCAATGAGTTAATTATCGGGAAATCGATGCAACTATTTTGCGTAGCCATGTTGGACCGCACCCTGATCGTTTCGGCAAGCCAAACACGTGTATACCGGCGTTTTGTAAAATTCATATTAAATATTATTAGAATTCGAAAAACCACCCTAGTTAACAAACAGTCGTTATCCTGGCAATTGCATACACATCACTGTATTGAAGATAATTAGAGAGATTTATTGTTGTCCAAAAATGTAATAAAACTGTTATTTAATTATCAATACATACATACATGTATTGATAATTATTATATATAAAAGAAAAATGATTTGATTTACAGATGCTTAAAAATCGGATATATCGCGATTTTTGTCAATTTGGCCAGCGGAATTTTGCGACACCCCGTAGAGAAATGGTGGACCGTGAGTATCGATTCGCGGACGGTCCGAGAAATTGATCGAATTGCAGGTGCCCTAGGTAAGGATAATATCACGATACTACCGTGGTATCGACCACCTTGCACCGCGATAAAAAGTCTTCCTTTTTATTCATAGAACGCGGAAAAAACGCCATATTTTTTTTTCAGAAATATAAATTCGTATAAAATTTTATGTTTCTATATAAATTATATTTTAACCTATAACAATCACGCAGTTAAAAACCTAAAAAATAATCGAGTAAATAATAGAAATTTAATAAAATATAGTGAATAATAAAAAAGATATAAAAATAAATCTGCAGTTGAAAAATACATGATCAAATTCAGAACATTCAGAGAAATAAATATTATAAATTTAGCTTAAAAATATATTTATTTTTAAGTTAAATAATTATAAGATATATAATCAAGATTGTAACCCCCGCCCCCACCCCATTTCCAGTCTACACGTGTCGATGTGATTGTTGTTTAAGAATTAAATAAGTTGAGTATTAAATAAGAAGAAAATTGATATGAAATATATGATCCCGTCTTATTAATCAAAAGCATTGCATTGCATGGAATTTGATTTATCAAGACGACAAATTGTCACGTTTGCGGAGGATCCCGATTGTGATTAAGAATGCGGGGACAGAATTACATGGTGACGGCGAATCGCTTGCACGCGGCGCTGGATCTCTCGCTCCCGATTCAGCTCCGCAGTCGACACCCTCTTGTCAAACTCGAACTTTTTCACCAGGAGTTCTTGCGCTGCCATCTGACGTACTTGAGCTATCTTCACCGTGTTCTAAACCATCATTGCACAAACGCCCACATTCGATCAGTGCTTTTTTTCGTAGAAAAACCTCGGCAACCCAAGGTTACCCTGTTTGTTTGACATTTTTTCTTTCCATCTTTGTCTCTCTCTCAAAAGCTCACGAATATAATGCTTTGATTAAGTTACGCACGAATCTCTGTCTTTTGGAATTATTTTCTCTTCCTGAAAATTTTTGTTGTACTTAATAAAATTTAACAATTTGAAGCATTCTTTACATAGAGATGTTCCTCTTTCTAGCTTTATAATAAATTATTTGAATTATTTTATTTTTAACCCTATTGATGTTAAAATTTCTGAATTTTAAAATTTTGTTGACATCTTTTACATTAAATTGAAAAAAATATGAAATTTTTACTTTTTGAAGCTTTGATCCTTTGGATTCCCAAACTTTCTTCAAATTTTTCATGGCTTTCATAATAACTGACGAAATAAAAGTCTAAGTCTAATGCAAAGCTTTGCAATAAAATCTGTACATAAAAAATTCATATATCTTTTATTTATCCAAAACCGACAAAGTTTCGCAATAACTTAATATTAGAGATCGACGTACTATTCAAAACTACCACATCAACTACAAGAGCCACGTTTGATCAGAAACTTACATGATTGCGCAATTTCTCCTTCTGCTCGCGCTCGATAGTCTCGCGACGTTCACGTGCCTGCTCCAGCTTGCCCTGAATTTGACACTCCAACTGCTGTACGCGCTCCGACATTCCTTGACGTACACGAGCTACTTGCTCCTCCTGCAAGCAAGCCGCGAATCAATAACTTATGTCTATTCTTGCTGACTCTATTATCTATCTATACAGTTTGCTTGTTAAAATATGCAAAACAAAGTAGCGCAGCTCGACAGAAAAGAAAGAAAATATGATAAAATGAGAACGTTTTATAATTTTCCTTCGTAATCTTAAAAATTTTTTAGTATGATAAATCACATATTTTATAACTATATGATAACGTTCAGAACAGGTTCTCAGAATATTTCCTGCCAATAGAAGGCGAATCGCATCTGTTTCCCTTTGCACCTGACATCCCTCGACACTTCTGTCAATTTCTTTTCCGAGGAATATAATAGGATGAGACAGGATGGAGGAGTATACTTTGTCAGGTTTTCCCGGCAGCTTTTTCGGTAGCGATGATTTTTCCGGTAACTAGCGCCCACAAAGGCCACATTATCTTCTCCTTCAATTACCTTCCTTTTCGGTTTCTAATTTTTGTTACCGCCAGAATTTATGATAAATGGAAAAAAATATTAAACATTTTTGAAAAATTATATCGAGAAAGATATCTAAAAGGCAATTACTATAGGAAAATCTGTCATTATTTAAAAATTTAAATCTGCCGATCACAAAGACGCTTTGCATAAAGCTTTATAAATGATTTATTAAATCCCCCAGCTTTGAAATCTATCTATAAAGAACTTTAATAAAAGCGCCGTTGGGGAAGTAACGAACTAATTCGGTACCTTGTTCTATAAATAGCGTAAAAGCACCTGGAGCAAGTTTGGTTCAATAAATACTAAATTACTTCAGGATAATTTCATCAAGAGTTTAGCAAGCTCCAACTAAAAGTGGATAAATGAATAATTGCAGTCAAAAACCGATGAATTATTTCACGATGATATATTAAGAGTAGTCAATCTCGCCCAGAAAAAAAAAAGTAAATTATCCAGTAATTGCTGCATAAAAAGTTGTCATGCCATAAAACTACTTAGCAGTAAAATATCATATATATATGCACAAAATCATAAAACTACTTTAAGATTTTTTGTAAAGATTTAATCGAAAAATGGCGGATATTTCTGTTAAAATAGCTATTTTTATAAAGCTTCATCCTGTAAAGTTCTATGACAAACTAGTGTCATAAGGAGCGAACTCTTTCTGTCATAAATTCTGATATTTTAATTCTTTAAATGCAAAAACTTTAAAATTGAGAAATGAATTCTTTTATATATTTCTCGTTTTTCATGGATGAATAAATAATTATGAGGACTGAGAAATAATTATTTATACAATTTTATAAAGAATTAAACGAGGAAAACGTTGTCTCTTCCAGGATTCTAGAGTGAATATTAGAGACAATCAGGCATTTATGGTAGCTAGTTACCGATCTTTACGAGAGAAACCGGAAGGAGAGAGGATATTAGGTATGTAGATAAGGAAAGTGGACCTCGCGCGACAACGGGGACTCACCTACGATACTCAGCGGGGCCTTGCAGCTGTGACAGAAGCACTGGAGCACCGAATCGCGCACGAGACCGATCAGCATGTTGCGTTCGTTTCGTTTCGTTCGAAAGGGGGGTGATTGGTTTCGCAGGCTCGATCTCGGAGGACGATGTGAATGACAGATCGAGCACACCGAGAGACCAAGGCACACTGAGGAAGGTCGGAGGAAGGACGAAAGATGAAGAAGAAGACGAGACCAAGATAGAAAATGAGTGAGGCACACCGGAAGTGTCGCTCAAGTCGTAACTGGGGCGGTGGCTGAAGGGCGACTGGCCCGCACACTGCGCCGCGACGCCCGGCGTCGCTCAATATCCCGACCACCCTCTTCTTCTCTTCCTCCTCCACCTCTCCCTCCGATCCTCCCTCCCTCCCTCGCCCGCGTCGTGCAACCAACAGCCTACCCGGCGACAAGCCACCCTTCCAACTAGCAACTCCAACACTACTGCTAGAACAGCCCTCAGAGGGTTGTTATGAACTGTACGGGGTGTTACCGAGAAAAGAATATGTAAAACATGGAAGTACGGACTTTTACTGAATGTGTATGAAGGGATAATAAAGCCTGAGAATTGAGTGGAACTTCAGCTTTCACTTTAATTGGATTTTACAAGATTTGAATGCTGAATACGCTGTATTACGCTGATATTTTTCTACGTTGGATTTTAAGATGAAGAGAGAAAAGTTTCAAGAAATTCCGAGGATATATATTTTTTAAATTTTATATTCTTAAAACTTTAAGTTTCCAAGATTCTACGATAATTTTTATGTTTAATGATCTTTCCCCAGATTTTATTTTCTTAGACTTGGGAAATCTGAATATTCAAAAAATCCTTTGCTTTTTCGGACACTCGGTATAGTCGGTCGGTAGGCACGTGTATGGAAGCCTATGTGCAGGCGTAAAATACCATTTGTCCATCTCCCATTCCTCCGCCAGAAATGTACCATCCTCTAGAATCCTACAACCTTTTACCGACATTTACCGCCATTTTATAAGGAAAGGACCGGCTTCAATTTTCGAAACGATCGACGAAAATAATGAACGTCCACCTAGGTAAAATCTGTACAAAACTTTACAAAGCATTGCATAGAAATTCTAATTGTTTTCAGATTTTTTCGACTCTCTTTCTCTCTCTCTCTCTCTTCAAATAGCGGAAATGCTAAATCTGTACATTTTGAAATCCTCAAATATTTTAAATAATTCAAAAATTAATTATATTTATTATAAATTATTTTAATTATAAATTATATTATATAAAAATTAATTATATTATAAATATAATTAATTTTTTGCATAATATAATTTATAAACATAATATTAATTTATAAATAGAATTATATATAAATATTAAATAATTTAAATAATTCTGAAAGTCGTGCATTTTCAGATTCTGAGAGATTTTGAAGTTTTTAAGTTTCGAAAACCTTGAATTTTTTAATTTTTATCCTTAAAAATGATAACTTAACTGTAGGAATAAAATTCCAATAATCCCAAGATCATTTCTACTAAGAGGATTTATAGAGAGTATTTGATTTGACACGGATTTCATAATGGCAAGTGAGAAATATGGGGCACCTAATGATTGTTTTGTGCAAAGTTTTACAATGAACGGACGATCGAAGACAGGCACTGTTTGTCGGAACTCGCGCGTTATGACGCAGCCGGAGAGATACCGGCGAGTCAGTTCCTTGCGGAAATCAATGAGAAACAAAGTTTTCATGACGCATTATAACTTTCAAGGAATCGTGTGGACTTGTTAGAAAAACGAAAGAAGAGAAAGATATTTGTTCCGGATGACCGTTGACGAGAAATCTTGATTTAAGGGGGGAAACCACCAGTGTAACGGCTGAAAAAAAGACTACTTTTAAGGATTTTTTTTCTAGTAAATAATTTTTTTTTTTCATATCGCGTTATTAACATCACAACGACAATAGCTTCAGTTGCACGTATGGATTTAAAAAAAAAAATTATTTGTTACAAAATGGCGGACTTTTAAAGAAAAAAATTCCTAAATCGGTGAGACATTTGACCTCTGGTTTTTAACATTACAAAAAAAAAACTGATGTTAATAACGCGAGTTGCAAAAAAACAATTATGTACCAGAAAAAAATCCTTCAAAATAACCTTTTTTTTTTAGCCGTTACACTGCTTTCCCCCCTTAATAAAGCTGATTCGATCGTTACAGTTTAATTGACTCCAAATGACAACGATAACAAAAAAAAAAAAAAAAAAAAAAAATTTTGCAGTTTTCTTATTTAGATTTGGTATAAAAAAACCTCAGAAGCTTTTTATTGTTAGTAGCAAATATATATAATCAAAGATTATTAATTATTTTGATGAACTATTTTGTTTTAATTTACAAAATAAACTTTTGGTGCCAAAAAAATCGGAGCTCAACTCGAAGACTGATTCCCTTTCCACACTCTCGCTCTGCTTAATATAAGTTTAATATAAATAATTTGCAATATAAACGTATTTCTCCAAAAAGTGCAATCATTATGTATCCCATATTTGTCGTCGTCATTTTGACAGCTGTATCAAATCTACAAATACTCTTAGAATTCTCTTATTGTTAATAGCTAATATATACAATCTAAAATTCTCAATAACTATTTTGATGAACTATTTTGTTTTAATTTATAAAATAAACTTTTGGTGTCAGAAAAATCGGAGCTCAACTTGGAGGTCGACTCTCTTTCAGACTGCCACTCTGTTCATCACGATTCGCGATACCAAGTTGAGAGCCACGGAAGCGAGGGGTCGCACCACGTTGCAGTCAGGTCGGTCAGGCTGCGGCATCACCGTTCCGTACAAGTCTGCCTGCAGCAATCTCCTCTGCAGCTCTCGCCGGGCCAAGGACACAAGTCCGGACGAGTCCGGGGGCTCTGACCTCTTGTGTCGTGTATGCCGCCTGCCGGTCTCGCCAATCTCTGGCGTTTAAGGGTGTGTTTCCACCGCACGGCGCCGAATTGTCCATGCTCCTCCTCTCTAATTGCGGAACCTTTGTCCCGATATCGCCGAAATAACACGCAAAACTCGCGTTCGTATAGTATATTAAATGAGAATCTTATTCCATAAAAAAGAACACAAGATCCGTAATATCAGAGAAAACGATTAGAAACAGACCATATATATTCGTGTTATATGAAAATATAAATATGATTAATAAATATGTATAAAAAATAAATATGATACGTTTTGTGTTATAATATTTAATATTAATTTAATTATAGAATTGTAACCGATAATAATGTAAATTGATTTGCGGAAATAAACTACTGTACTAAAAAAAAAAAAGATTTTTTTTTTTACTTTTACTACTTTGTTACTTTTCACTACTCTCTCTCTCTTTCTCTCTCTCTCTCTTATAAAATATATAAAATATTATTATCGCATGTAAATCAATTTCTTAATATTACTTTACGTATTTTTAAGAACGTTACTCACATTCGTTGGGAACAGACGACTCTGTGGTGGCCATAATGATGTTTCTGCAACAAAAACGTTCCGTACGTATAAGCAAACTGGATATACTGGATATTCGAGGAAAAGTACAAATAGAACGAGTCCAAGACTCTTAAATGTATTGTTATAACATTGATTGTTTTCAAACTTGATTCTTGATGTTGTCACGACATCTATTCTATTTAACTATGTGTGTTACATTTTCTCAGCTCAAAATATAGTAAATATCAATTCAGAATTTAAAGGAAAATAAGAGAAAAGAAGTGATAGACCTTTAATTATATCGATATCTTTACGGACACGAAAAAGGCAGACTTGCAATAATAAAGCAATCGAGTAAATATGTTTTAATTACAAATTTTCAATTATTATGTATATGTGTGTGTTATATTTCAATACATTCAATATATGTGTTACTTTTTTTATTCATGTTATTTGGAAATTAAATCTATTTGTGTATATCTTGTAGCATATCGTCTATGTTTTATATTGAATAACAAATATTGATATTTTTATTATTCAGCATGAAACACATAATATGTTATACCAAATATTTTTATATTGACGCGTGTGTCGCCAGATTAAAACAGATTGACAACAGCAGTTCTCAAATTCTATTTCACAAAGTTATCAAAAAAATTTATTATTTAGCATCATAATAATGGAGCAAAAATAAGAATAAATAAATATTTTCAAAATTATATAAAATTCGTCTCTAAAATTCTTGTATTACTTTTTATATTAAAATCGAAACTCTGCAGACAGTTTTTAGAATAAAAAAGAACTTTGTTTTAAAATTTACGATACAATTAATTAAATAAATAAGAAAAGTATGCAATTATATATGTATAATCGATTATTATTATACCGTCTCGTGTTCCTTTTTGCAAATTTCTAAAAATAGAGTAGTTTATAAATTTCACTCGAGTGAAAATAATGTGTGAATAAAACATGGTAGAACAGAATGTGATCTTATTGTTAGTGTATTTTTTTTTAATTTTTAGTTTTTAATTTTTATTTATTTTTTTTAATTTTTATTAATTTTTTTTATTTTTTTTCAATTTTATTTTTAATTTTTTCAATTTTAATTTTAATTTTTTTTTTAGTTAGTTTATTTATTTATTTTTTTTATATAGTCGAGATGGTTTATATAGTGACATCTATTGACTACAGTTTAACTTTGCTTAAACTTCTTTGCTAAGAGATATTTTTCTAAGATTGAACGAGAAATATTGACACAAATCCTTTGTTCTAAAAAAAAGAAATATAATTTAACGAGTATGAATTATAATTTACAATTATTTAGACACAGTTTCTTGTTACAATATGTAAATATTTAATTATTTTTATTATTTATACATAGTATTATTTTATCGCTAATAGCTTTATAATAATTTTTCAAACGCTCTAAATAATCGTAATAAACACTGCCATTTTTAATTTTAAATATTAAAGAAAAAGCATTCAGATTTGAAACACCTTGTATATGTCTTTGTTCATGATAAATTTACTAAAAAAGAATTGATTATACGACACAAAGTAACTTCTACAGTACTACCAAAGGACCAATTTACACAAATTAATAACTTAATATTATATCACCACAATGTGTGACCGAGTTAATAATCCAATTAGATAAAGCAGGCTCAACTCCTTTATTTACAAACGTTCCGCCATGATCCGTCACTACCACAACAAAAGCCATTGAAAGGCGCAATCGTTTTAACTCGGAAACAGCAATATTTCTCGCCCCGAGATTCTCGCCGTCTCAAGTACAAAACAATCGATGAGCAACGACAATCATACCGTTCGATTAAACTCGCAAACAAACAATGGATCCAACAACGAGCGTCGTTCGTATAAATCGCGCATCTCTTTGTTTGCGTCGCGTAAGGGATGGAGGAGGAGGAGAGGAGGGGGAGAAGCTATCCTATACCTGCTTTTCGGTCACAGGATATTCTCCTTGTTCTCGATACTCGTTCGCACCAACGACGAAACGAAGTCAGCCTGTCGACTCGCAATTGAATTCGAGATGCGAAACCTAGCTTGGCACTCACGACGACGATACACTGGCCGTTATACACGACGACACGACGAGCGAGTTCCTGGACAACCGGCCGCTTCGCACAACGCTTTTATCGCGCGTCTTTATGCGGCGTTCGGAGTTCGCCGAGAACGGCCGAGTGGCCGCGAGGGCGCCCGAACGGCCGCCGAAGACGGCCGAGGGCGCGCGAGGCCGCTCGAGTCGCCACTGGCGCGGCCACGCGATTGGTCCGCCGTCGATGTTACGTCGCGCCCATTGGTCCGTTTGAACCGCCGAACGTTACCGACGTCCGATCGCCGTGACTTCCAATTTATTTTGCGGCCGTTTGACAGATATATATATGTCATTTGATATATTCGGTTTTTTTTATTTGCATTTCCTGAGTAGATGCTTTGTGTTTCTATTCCCAAGGCTTATTTCATTTTGAAAGCATTGCTGGAACAGATGTTATTTCTAGTTTGCTAGATACTATATTATCATTTAATGATGATCGTGAATGTTGAATGTTGAAATATATAACACACATACATAATTGAAAATTTGTAATTAAAACAAAGCTAACAGGAATAAAATTCTAACATAAATTTCTCTCGAAATTTATATTTATATTAAATTTATATATTCAATATAATATTCTAGGATATTTAACTTCCTTCTCATTTAAATAAATTTACAATTTATAAATTTATACTTCCATCGTACTTATTATCATTATCATACTGTCCTCCTATCTTTCCGATAATATTTCAATGAAAAGGAATTGTGTGTGTGGTTCTGTCGTACTACAAAAATGATATTCTTTTCTCTCGATATCATTCCATTTATTTTGTATGCATCTGAATTATTAAAATAAAAATTACTTAAATTATCATCAAATCAAGGAAAAAACATATTCTATAATATTTTATTTTAATTGAAATTATTACCTCTTGTAATTTTGAATCTCTTTTCCTTGAGAACCTGCATTGTGCGTACACGACCATTCCTTGGATCCTCATTTTTATGATGTCGGAAATAATAATTTAATTCTCTCGTTGATGGATCGCGAATGACGCGTATTGTATTCGGGCGCGAAACCGTTAGAATCGACTCGAAAAAAAAAAAGAGATTCATTTCTGATGAATCATGTGACTGCAACGTTCGGATGAGTGTGTGGGACGCGGTGACCGTTGCTGTCGCGTCGCGGAAGCGTAATAAAAAATGGGTCCCTAATATGGTCGCGACGTTCACGACTGGTTCTGTCAATACCCCGACATTGTTATCGTTTCTTCTCTCAGGCGATATAAATGCCACAGACTTCTCTCTCTCTCTCCCTCTCTCTCTTTCTCTCTCTCTTGTAGTTTCTATAATTTTCATAATTTTCCCTAACAACACACATGTCCAGAGGACATCTAGAGGACATCCAGAGGACATTCAGAGGACATGTGTATTATTGTTATAGGATTAAATGTTTTTTAATATAGAATAAATTGTACGATTGTTTTTCGTATTACAAACACAATGGTGTTCATTGTTTAATTGATGCGCGTGTGATAAGATGTATTTCTTTTTACGAGTAAAAAAAAAAAAAAAAAGAGGATCCAAAAAAGTTTAGATGACCGCAATTTTAGCGCTAAATGCAAAATAAGAATCGTATACGTATGTATATGTATATATTTACGGCAAGTAATGCTATTTTTTAGGATCTGGATTTGTTTTTTGTAACTCGTAATTAAACGCGCCGCTCGCATTAACATAAAATTGAAATTTTACGTCATTGAATAACCGATTCAGATAGAAAGCAATGCGCATTGCAAACTTGGCGCCGTTCGAGATCATCGCGTATGAAACATACATAGAGAGTTTTCCAGCAGGAAACACATATAAATACAATGTCACGAGATTGGCTGTCAAATAGAAAAATTTTTGGGATCTTGTCGAAATCATTAGACGTAGGAAATTTATTATTATTTATTTATTATTTATTTATTATTATTTGTTATTATTTATTCAACTCTTAATAAAAATATAATATTAATTTATCTCTTTTCTTATAATATCTTATGTATTTTCTTTTTTTTTGTGATTTATTATTGTTCTTAGTTTTATTTTTTTAATCTAGCAAAAAATAAGCATTGTGTATTTATAACTATAGCTTGATAAAATTCCAGTTTTTACATTGAATTTAGAACGATGCAAGATTAAATATGAAAATTTGTATATCCATTCAAATGAAATCATTATTAAATCAAACCATTATAACAATTTCTCTCCTCGAAAATTTAACAAAATATGTTAAAAATATGCTTATGTGATATAATATGGTAAAGAATATTTCAATCTGTCCTTAATAATATTACACATATCTTTAAGACTTCGAACATTGTAATTTTTATTTGAACTGAATAAATTTTTGTAAACTTCTTTAAGTTGATATATTTTGTCTTATAAAATGTAAACATTGTCTGTAAATATTTTTTACATTGACAATAGCGTATTAAAATAATATTAATATATAATAATAATAATATTAATTTTATGGGTATAAAAATCGCGATAAAATACGAAATCAGATATAAAAAATAAACATCTGAAAAATTTATTACCTATCAATACACATCGCATTTTAGAGTTAATCAAGTAATCATATAAATAATATTTACATTTTATTTTAAGAGAATATAAGAATAAATTCTAAGCTTTAATTTTTAATCGATAATATTTATTCGATAATAGTACGAGATACTCGGAAATCTCTAAATTCTGTATATGTTCTGTGTTTTGGGCAAATGTTCTCTTTTTCCTCTGTATAGTGTAAAGTATACGTCTGGTAGCTTAGAAATAATTGCTACTTTGACAACATAATATCAATAAATTGGCACGCTGTTAATATTTTTCACTGTAATCATCCGTTAATGTTTCTCACTTTATATTTCGTACGATTATCAGCAGTTTGATCATTAATTTACAATTAAATTTTCTATAAAGTCGTATATTAATTAATCTATTTTTAATATATCTTTGTTATATTAAAAATGCAAGTTTCTATAAAATAATGTATTTTTGGTTCGTGAATTTAAACATTCTGTGTAATATCACGAAATATTGATCTTCAGTCACCTCTCCACGACCCTTACGGTTTTATATTTTGCTTGTTTTTATTACATGTTAGAGATAAAACTTTTGCCAAAATACATACTTATTTACATTGATATCTATTCGATTTAAGAAACATAGCACTTATAACTTTGATAACATAATATCAACAAAAGTAGAAATCATTAGTAGATCATTGCCTGTTAATGTGCTTTTTAATTTTAGTTTCGCACTATCATCGCAGTTTGATCATTAATTTATAAATAGACTTATAGATCAACGCATTTTAAATGTATCTTTGTTTTATTAAAAATGCATTATATAAACTTTTAGAAAATAATGTATTTTTGGCTGGTGAATTCAAATAATTTTTAGATTCTTGTGAAATAATTTTGGTCTTCAATTCCTTCCTCACGATTGCTACAGTCCTATATTTGTTTATATCGTTTGTTTTTATTACATGTCAGATAAGACATACAGGACAAATTCTGTTTCCAAAACACTTTGTATCGATACTCACTAGATCCAAGAAGGATCGTTCCTCTGCTTAGCAAAATTTAACCGAGCTATAATTATACGTCAATCGCTTCGTATATCTGTGTAATAAAGTATAGACTACGTTACATATATCGGTAAGTAAAAGTATTATACATTATTTAGACACATTTCACAGATATACACTTGTTTTCTATCCTTTTAAAATACATTGTTGATTATGTACTTGCGTAAATTATTAAAATAGTTGTTAAAATGCTCTTAGCTCTTAATAATCACATTTGTTTGAGAATGCAATACAGCTACGTAATATTTCGAAATAAAATCTTCGTAAATAGCTACATGCTAACTTAAAAGGTAAAAATGGATATATGAAAAAGAAAAAACGACATAAAAAGAGCGCATTTCTCTATATAAGAAGTCTTTTTTTGTTAAAGTGGGCGAGATTAGTAGTTTTAGGAAAATTAATATTGAAAACTTTGATAACAAAAATTTAAATAAGTGCTGCAAATACTTTGTTCAACAAGTTTTGTATAAAACTTACACGTAAATTTAAAATTATTTAACATAACGTTAGCTTGTGAATTTATTGATTTTTGAAGCTCGTTAAAATTTCATTTCATATGTATTATTATTTTCAAATAATTAAAAATTTACTACCATATTAAAAGAATTATAATTATCTGATTACTACAGTAATTACTTGAATTACTACATCTTTGTTATCTGCTTATTTAACGATTTTGTGCTTTGTATACATTCACAATTTTATATTATGCAGACGTACAATAATGGATCCTCCAATAGTTTCAATGAAAAGAATAGATTTGTTTATACCTAAACGTGACGAACTTGCTACAGGTAGATACATAATATTTATAATTAAAGACGATTATTATTACATATATTTCCCACATATACATATAATATTTCATATATTAATATATTAATGCACGCATTCAGTTTTACAACGTGGACTTAGATGCCATTTTAAAGAAGCTACAGTCGAATGGGTAGATTGTCCTGATCTGACTCAAGAACCTTTCAATCTTGCCAAACCAGGTAAACAAAATTTACTACATCTTTAAGTGAGTATACCAGTATACAAACTAAAAAAAAAAAAATTTGATAATTTTTGGTAAAGAACATTAAAAATAATGAGACTCTTTTTTTCTTTTTTTGTATTCAAAACTACATAAAATAATATATAGAATTTACACGATACCTAGCAATATATATATATACATAATATATCAACCAAAAAAAATAAAAATTAAATATCAATATAATATATGTCAGACAACAATCTATATCTTCATTGCCTTTATGGATTTTGATAAAATTACTTAGAAATTTGTTTTTGAGATTTTAAACTTCTAAAAGATACAAGAAAAGTCGATGACTTACATTAAGATAAAATATTTATTTATAGGATTACGTGGTAATGCGATAATTTCGGAAATAGATGAACTATGTTTTCCATTCTCGGAATTTCATCAGGAATACAATATTAAAAAAATTATAAAAAAAGTTCATAATATCTCCAGCAATGGCGGCTTGATCATTGGAGCAAGTATGGGTCTACGACGGTCAACTGGTCAATTAGGCAATGTATATATTGTTGAAACTTCTATGAAAAAATGGAATATTAACCATTATGCTTTATTGCCATTTTAGCTTTGTCTTGATTTCTATTTATTTATCATTAGTTTTAATTATATGCTATAACACTGATAATTTATAATGCTACTAAAGTTTCATTCTTTTATATTTATTTTACATGAATGCTATTTTTGTATAGCTTATTATGAACGCATCATACTCACGTCATCCAGTAATCAAAGATGATATAAAAATAATAAACCAAAGCCGCCTTGCATTTTCCGATAAAACAACGGGAAGATGTGGATTAGAATTTGTAACTGATGACAATCCTTATTGCTATCCAAACGGCAATTTCTTCATTAGTGAAGGAATGCCTGGACAGGTTCTTAAAGTATGGGCTAAGAAATGCACTGGTTTGCAGTTTTTAACTGCATTACAGTCTACACTTGCTGACGAATACTGCAGTGGTACTTCTCCAAAAGCAATCGGTGAGAGAAATAATATAATCAAATGTTTCTTTTTTTTATAATAGAAAAATTCTAATAGGCAATACATCTAATTCTGAACGAGAGTCAAGCCTCCCCTCTCCCCACCCCTCTTCCTCCTTTGCAAATATAGTGTGATTACATTGACAAATTGCTGAAACTAAGGTTTATTATTTTGTAATGAAAAGACAGAATATAATAATTTGACTTTTTTTTAGAAACAAAACTTTTCATGTTATTTTATTCAATGTAAAAAGATTATGTATATATAAAAATATTTTAAAAAACGTAAAAAATAAATATTATAAAAAAGAACTGTAAAAAATCTTGGTTAGTTGAATAACCATAAAGATATATTTTATATGAAATTTATTGAACTTTAATCAGAGCATCGATTAAAATGTTTATACCATTTTGTTAGATGTGTGTTTTGAATAATTTTTATAACAAAATTAATTTTACAAGTATTTTAAATATTGTTTTAATGTTATTACGCAGATGTTAAATTATGTACAAAGCTTGCTTATGTACATGTGTTTAATAACAATAAAAAAATTGTAGAATAAATTCTTATAAATTATTTAAAATGTTTAGTTAACAAAAAAATAATGTGAACAATTACATGCATTGTATAAAGCTAAATAACTATATAAAACATTTTTTTGCTTTATAGCTAGCCGTATTTTTACAGTTTTTTCTAGAAATATTGTTTCTTATATTTTTAAGGATATATGTATTCTTATTGCATTTTAATTGATAATAAAAATGACAAGTTTTTATAAAATAAAGTTTAATTAATTCTTGTTTTAATTATGTTTGCTTTCATTACAAAATAACTAGTTTTATCAACATTTTAATAATCACTTTGCATATGTAAAATATAAAAGATTAAAAGTTTTAGCGTACATATTTAATGTACATTTTAATCTTATATTTCATAATAATTTTCATCCTTTACAGTTTTAGAATTTAGTAGTTGTTCAAACAAAATCAAATATATCATAGCTTTTTATCTTTATTTACATATCACATCTTATCTGTTCTACGACATTAAAATTTCATCAAATTTAGAGTAAGACACTTCAGTATAGCTTCTTGTTAGGAGAAATTAACATAGAAATGTAATAATCTAACTTCTTTTGTCTTTTGTATTTTATACAATTTTTGTTATTATTTGATTAAAAAATTAAATTTATTAAATATATTTAAATGTTCGTTCTTATCTCTAAATAAAATGAAAAAAAAAAAAAAAAAACAAGTTTGAAAAAATACATATCTCTTATACTTTTATTTGTTCCAACAACATCAAAATCTCGTCAAATTGAAAATAAGGTACTTTAGTATAGTTTCTTGTTATATATAAAAGAAATTAACATGGAGATGTAATACAATATTTACCTTTTTTTTATCTTTTTTATATAACAAACTATAAATAAACAATCCTTCTCTTTGTTCTCGCAGGCTTAGGTGGCACATTTGTGATGAAAAGTGGAAGAGCAAAGCACTATGTTATATCACATCGATATAATACCCGGATAACAGCCTCAACTAATCTTGATGATTGGCTTCATTATTATGACTTAGATGCACCTTTGGTAGCGGTTGGCACGCTTTTTAGCAGTAAACCCAAGTGTTGGCCAAAAACTTCTGCACTTTATGCTAAAGATGTAATGTCAAAATGTTTAAAAATTAAAAGTAATAATATAATCATAAATATTTATATAAGCTGTGTTTTTAGATATGTGGGCTTACTGAAACTCATTTTCACGCTTATTCCTCTGACGGAGTAACAGGTGGACACTTTTATAAGGATCTCGAATCGATGGACCCAGTAGAGTATTTGGGATATTTTTATCCTGCGCAATTATTTGATAATGTGGGGATACAGTTGCAGTTGCAGGGAACTAGCTGTAGGGCGCTGGATCTGACACTGTTTTAATTAGAATAATATTGCTGATGCAATTATTGATTCGTTGTTTATATTTATAAATTCTAATGTAAAATTATATAGCTTTTTCGTAAGATATCTTATTATGTATTTTTCTTTTTTATTATATTTTTCTCATTTTTATTTTTCTAATTTAGCAGCTATTTTATGTTTTTCTATTATATCTTTTAAATATCTTCTCTCTATTATTATAAATGTACTTTAGTTGCAAATTATAAAATAAACTTATTAATCAAGTCAATAATAAACTGTAAAAAAATTATTACAATATATGAAAATAATATAATATAATAAAATACTCCTTCTGTGTGATATATCAGCATATATTTATATTCAAATATTTCTGTTGTTATATTTTTAAAGAAAAGGCTATCTTTCTGATTTTAATTATATGAATTAATGATTTTTAATGAGTAATACATGTTAAAACAGTTAAATTAGAAATTCTGAATAATTTGTGATACGCTTCTCCTTATGACTTCGTTATGGTATATTATTATCGAACTTGAATTTTTTTCACATGCTTAGTACATTTTTGTAAGTCACACGGTTCAAGAAAATTGTTTTCGGGCTTTTCATAATGCTATTAAAGTTTCATTCTTTTATATTTTTTATTTTACACGAACGCTATTTTTGTAAAGACTAAAAGTTTTAGCGTATTTAATGTTAAGTACATTTTAATCTTATATTTTATAATAATTTTCATCTTTTAGAGTTGTAGAGCTTATAATGTTGTATTAAGAGTTTTAGAGTTAATATTATTATTTATTATTTTTATTTATTATTATTTATTATTATGTATTATTATTTATTTATTAATTATTATTTTTATTTATTATTATTTATTATTATGTATTATTATTTATTTATTAATTATTATTTTTATTTATTATTATTTATTATTATGTATTATTATTTATTTATTAATTATTATTTTTATTTATTATTATTTATTATTATGTATTATTATTTATTTATTAATTATTATTTTTATTTATTATTATTTATTATTATGTATTATTATTTATTTATTAATTATTATTTTTATTTATTATTATTTATTATTATGTATTATTATTTATTTATTAATTATTATTTTTATTTATTATTATTTATTATTATGTATTATTATTTATTTATTAATTATTATTTTTATTTATTATTATTTATTATTATGTATTATTATTTATTTATTAATTATTATTTTTATTTATTATTATTTATTATTATGTATTATTATTTATTTATTAATTATTATTTTTATTTATTATTATTTATTATTATGTATTATTATTTATTTATTAATTATTATTTTTATTTATTATTATTTATTATTATGTATTATTATTTATTTATTAATTATTATTTTTATTTATTATTATTTATTATTATGTATTATTATTTATTTATTAATTATTATTTTTATTTATTATTATTTATTATTATGTATTATTATTTATTTATTAATTATTATTTTTATTTATTATTATTTATTATTATGTATTATTATTTATTTATTAATTATTATTTTTATTTATTATTATTTATTATTATGTATTATTATTTATTTATTAATTATTATTTTTATTTATTATTATTTATTATTATGTATTATTATTTATTTATTAATTATTATTTTTATTTATTATTATTTATTATTATGTATTATTATTTATTTATTAATTATTATTTTTATTTATTATTATTTATTATTATGTATTATTATTTATTTATTAATTATTATTTTTATTTATTATTATTTATTATTATGTATTATTATTTATTTATTAATTATTATTTTTATTTATTATTATTTATTATTATGTATTATTATTTATTTATTAATTATTATTTTTATTTATTATTATTTATTATTATGTATTATTATTTATTTATTAATTATTATTTTTATTTATTATTATTTATTATTATGTATTATTATTTATTTATTAATTATTATTTTTATTTATTATTATTTATTATTATGTATTATTATTTATTTATTAATTATTATTTTTATTTATTATTATTTATTATTATGTATTATTATTTATTTATTAATTATTATTTTTATTTATTATTATTTATTATTATGTATTATTATTTATTTATTAATTATTATTTTTATTTATTATTATTTATTATTATGTATTATTATTTATTTATTAATTATTATTTTTATTTATTATTATTTATTATTATGTATTATTATTTATTTATTAATTATTATTTTTATTTATTATTATTTATTATTATGTATTATTATTTATTTATTAATTATTATTTTTATTTATTATTATTTATTATTATGTATTATTATTTATTTATTAATTATTATTTTTATTTATTATTATTTATTATTATGTATTATTATTTATTTATTAATTATTATTTTTATTTATTATTATTTATTATTATGTATTATTATTTATTTATTAATTATTATTTTTATTTATTATTATTTATTATTATGTATTATTATTTATTTATTAATTATTATTTTTATTTATTATTATTTATTATTATGTATTATTATTTATTTATTAATTATTATTTTTATTTATTATTATTTATTATTATGTATTATTATTTATTTATTAATTATTATTTTTATTTATTATTATTTATTATTATGTATTATTATTTATTTATTAATTATTATTTTTATTTATTATTATTTATTATTATGTATTATTATTTATTTATTAATTATTATTTTTATTTATTATTATTTATTATTATGTATTATTATTTATTTATTAATTATTATTTTTATTTATTATTATTTATTATTATGTATTATTATTTATTTATTAATTATTATTTTTATTTATTATTATTTATTATTATGTATTATTATTTATTTATTAATTATTATTTTTATTTATTATTATTTATTATTATGTATTATTATTTATTTATTAATTATTATTTTTATTTATTATTATTTATTATTATGTATTATTATTTATTTATTAATTATTATTTTTATTTATTATTATTTATTATTATGTATTATTATTTATTTATTAATTATTATTTTTATTTATTATTATTTATTATTATGTATTATTATTTATTTATTAATTATTATTTTTATTTATTATTATTTATTATTATGTATTATTATTTATTTATTAATTATTATTTTTATTTATTATTATTTATTATTATGTATTATTATTTATTTATTAATTATTATTTTTATTTATTATTATTTATTATTATGTATTATTATTTATTTATTAATTATTATTTTTATTTATTATTATTTATTATTATGTATTATTATTTATTTATTAATTATTATTTTTATTTATTATTATTTATTATTATGTATTATTATTTATTTATTAATTATTATTTTTATTTATTATTATTTATTATTATGTATTATTATTTATTTATTAATTATTATTTTTATTTATTATTATTTATTATTATGTATTATTATTTATTTATTAATTATTATTTTTATTTATTATTATTTATTATTATGTATTATTATTTATTTATTAATTATTATTTTTATTTATTATTATTTATTATTATGTATTATTATTTATTTATTAATTATTATTTTTATTTATTATTATTTATTATTATGTATTATTATTTATTTATTAATTATTATTTTTATTTATTATTATTTATTATTATGTATTATTATTTATTTATTAATTATTATTTTTATTTATTATTATTTATTATTATGTATTATTATTTATTTATTAATTATTATTTTTATTTATTATTATTTATTATTATGTATTATTATTTATTTATTAATTATTATTTTTATTTATTATTATTTATTATTATGTATTATTATTTATTTATTAATTATTATTTTTATTTATTATTATTTATTATTATGTATTATTATTTATTTATTAATTATTATTTTTATTTATTATTATTTATTATTATGTATTATTATTTATTTATTAATTATTATTTTTATTTATTATTATTTATTATTATGTATTATTATTTATTTATTAATTATTATTTTTATTTATTATTATTTATTATTATGTATTATTATTTATTTATTAATTATTATTTTTATTTATTATTATTTATTATTATGTATTATTATTTATTTATTAATTATTATTTTTATTTATTATTATTTATTATTATGTATTATTATTTATTTATTAATTATTATTTTTATTTATTATTATTTATTATTATGTATTATTATTTATTTATTAATTATTATTTTTATTTATTATTATTTATTATTATGTATTATTATTTATTTATTAATTATTATTTTTATTTATTATTATTTATTATTATGTATTATTATTTATTTATTAATTATTATTTTTATTTATTATTATTTATTATTATGTATTATTATTTATTTATTAATTATTATTTTTATTTATTATTATTTATTATTATGTATTATTATTTATTTATTAATTATTATTTTTATTTATTATTATTTATTATTATGTATTATTATTTATTTATTAATTATTATTTTTATTTATTATTATTTATTATTATGTATTATTATTTATTTATTAATTATTATTTTTATTTATTATTATTTATTATTATGTATTATTATTTATTTATTAATTATTATTTTTATTTATTATTATTTATTATTATGTATTATTATTTATTTATTAATTATTATTTTTATTTATTATTATTTATTATTATGTATTATTATTTATTTATTAATTATTATTTTTATTTATTATTATTTATTATTATGTATTATTATTTATTTATTAATTATTATTTTTATTTATTATTATTTATTATTATGTATTATTATTTATTTATTAATTATTATTTTTATTTATTATTATTTATTATTATGTATTATTATTTATTTATTAATTATTATTTTTATTTATTATTATTTATTATTATGTATTATTATTTATTTATTAATTATTATTTTTATTTATTATTATTTATTATTATGTATTATTATTTATTTATTAATTATTATTTTTATTTATTATTATTTATTATTATGTATTATTATTTATTTATTAATTATTATTTTTATTTATTATTATTTATTATTATGTATTATTATTTATTTATTAATTATTATTTTTATTTATTATTATTTATTATTATGTATTATTATTTATTTATTAATTATTATTTTTATTTATTATTATTTATTATTATGTATTATTATTTATTTATTAATTATTATTTTTATTTATTATTATTTATTATTATGTATTATTATTTATTTATTAATTATTATTTTTATTTATTATTATTTATTATTATGTATTATTATTTATTTATTAATTATTATTTTTATTTATTATTATTTATTATTATGTATTATTATTTATTTATTAATTATTATTTTTATTTATTATTATTTATTATTATGTATTATTATTTATTTATTAATTATTATTTTTATTTATTATTATTTATTATTATGTATTATTATTTATTTATTAATTATTATTTTTATTTATTATTATTTATTATTATGTATTATTATTTATTTATTAATTATTATTTTTATTTATTATTATTTATTATTTATCTATTATTTTCTACGTCTATGGTCAAATGACAGCTGCGATTGACAGATCCAGACGCACGCTTTCCTTTCTATCGCGTCGCTTCGTTCATGACCGATCGCTCGCACACCGGCGTGAAGTTGCGTGCTGGTTAGATGGTAAATTCACGAGGTTCATGGTGCACGAGTCTATCACATACCACCATCGTGACGACCGCGTTTACGGGAGAGGCACGATTTGGCGCGAGAAGGCAACGTGGTGCATCGATGGTGGTCGAACAAGGCTAAGGCGCGAGAACCATCGAGGATGTCGATAGTATTCCGGGAGACTGACAACACCAACGTCGTCGATCATGTCGGCGATGACAGACTTCGCGCCGGGACCGACAGCTTCCCGAGCATCAACGAGAGGCCGGTCGACGACATCTCCCTCGAGTTCTTTTACAAACCGCACACGATCACCCTACTGCTCATCTCCATTGGCGCCGTCATATACTCGGCGTTCACTAGGTAGCCGCGAACGTCCGTCTCAACCCTTTGGAGAACCTCGCGTTTATATTTTATGATTTAAAGCTGATTAAATACGTATTTGTATTCAAGGTAGATCGGTATATATCGAACTCTGATCAGATAATTCTGGGAAAAAATGCGATACAAAGTTTCCTCGACAATGACCTAGTGTCATACTTTAGATAATGATGCAACATTCACACATTATATACGAGATTTTAATTCTTATATATTTGATGTGTTGCAATTCGCTTTTCCTTCTCTTTTCGAGATGCATGATACTAATAAACCTACAAGTAATTTTATAAATTATTAATATTATATAAATATTAAGGAATAATTATAATTTGTCCTTGCATTGTCTATTATAAGCCATTCATGATTATGCTTTTGTATTTTGCATACTATATTCTCTATTTGTTATGTAATTTCTTCTTGCATCAATACTGCTTTTATTAACATTTTTATGTCTTTAAAAATTATAGTCATAGTTATTAAAAATTTAAATTGATTTTAATTTGTAGTTTAATTTTTGACAGAATACTAAATAGTCTGATAAATATATATTAATTGTGACATCGTCATTATGACTGATAGATATAGCGACCATTGTTCTAAAAGAATTTGATTGAATTTAATTGTCACTTATAATGCAGCTAGAGTGAGAAAATTTATGTAAATATTTTTGCAAATGACCAATTGACAGATCCATATATTATAATTTTTGCAAATCATGTGCTACCTTGTTGTATCATCAAAATTACGCATTACATTATATTTATTATATTCCTCTAAATACCTTGATTTCAGAAATACCACCAATGTCGAAGACAACATGTGGGCAGGCATGTTGTGTGTCATTTTCTTCTTCCTCATCATATCCGTCTTAACATTCCCCAATGGTCCATTCACGAGGCCTCATCCAGTGGTATGGCGGATAGTATTTGGCTGCAGTGTTCTTTATCTGATGGGTCTGTTGTTTATGTTGTTCCAAAACTACGGGACAGTCAGAAGGATTCTGGTATGGGTGGATCCAGGTTTAGCGTCTTTCCACATTGACATGGACAAGGAGTATGGCGTTAATTGCTCAGATGTCACGATAGAAAAAATTTGGAATCATTTGGATGTATTTGCAATGGCTCATTTTCTCGGCTGGGCCTTCAAAGCTATTCTGATTCGTCATCTTGGCATTCTCTGGGCCATCAGCGTCATGTGGGAGGTGACAGAGATCGCCTTCGCGCACTTGCTGCCAAACTTTGTCGAGTGTTGGTGGGATGCGTTGATTCTGGATGTTCTTGTATGCAATGGATTGGGTATCTGGGTTGGTCTGAAGATCTGCTCTATATTAGAGATGCGAGAATATAAGTGAGTTCACACACCTTTTGACATCCAAAAGCCTCGAAAGATTTGATCGTTTTTTTATAAGAATCTATTCTATACTTTATAGAATTTTATTTCTATTCATATATTGAAACTCTTTATTTTTATTTAATCTCCTTTTCTCAACAAAGACTACAAACCAATATTGAATCCTGCACTTATCTTGAATACATAGATGGGTCAGCATCCGTGACATCGAGAGTACTACTGGGAAATTGAAGAGAGCAATGTTGCAATTCACTCCTGGTAGCTGGACATCTGTCAGATGGCTAGATCCCACTTGCACACATATGCGATTGGTCGCATTGTGTCAGTTAGTGATATTCTGGCAAGTCTCCGAGCTCAATACCTTCTTTTTGAAGCATGTCTATGAGTTTCCGCCATCTCACCCCTTTGTTGTGGCCAGATTAGTGCTAATTGGTGTCATAGTCGCACCATCAGTTAGGTGAGCAATTCTTGATGTTCAATATAAATAAAATATTAGGTCGATAAAATATAGATTTCTTAAGAATTTTAAGTCTTAGAATCGAAAAATATATGAATATATTAAAATTAAAAATTTTAAAACATTAGTGTTTTATTTCAAGGGAGATATTGCATTAAACATATATGTGTGTATTATATTTTTAAAAATGCATTGATTGAAATTATATATTATATCAATATTACTTACCATATGTGTGTGGTTTATGAAAATTGATGTTTTCTTAATTTGAATCTCTCTCTCTCTTCTCTGGGGCGGGGGGAAGTAAACTAATACAATTGTTACAATTCCAGGCAGTATTATATGTTTGTGACTGATCCGACATGTAGTCGAGTGGGAACTCAGTGTTGGGTGTATGGGGCTATCATGGTGACTGAAGCCCTACTGTGTATACGCCATGGTGCAGCTCTATTTGAGCGCACTCAGGCTCTCAATATCCTCCTCTGGCTGCTCTGCCAGTCTCTAGTCTCTGTTCTCTGTGTCTATGGCTGCGTCTTGTGGCATCAGTACTTTGAGGTAAGACTATATAAATTTGTAGATTTTGATCTTTTTCTAACATTAAGATCCAGAAAAAATATTGCTATAATATTTTTAGTATTAGAGAAGAAAATTTAAAGGAAACATTGTATAATAATATGAATTAAAAATATCGCATAAATTTCCCTTTTTCTCTTACAAACTTACTCATAGTGATCCCATGTGTTGTCATAAGCTGCTCGCGGTTGTCAATAGTTGATTAATTATCAATTTTTATAATAAACTTTTCTTGTTCCTTTCAAATGCATGGTGCTGATTGCTGCAGACGGGAAAGAAAGCCACTATAAGGCGGTCCGTCTCCCATCTAGGCAACTTTAACACAAACGTAAGCGGTATGTGTTGATTAGATACTCGATATAATCGAATTTGTGGCACTTGATTAACCGCTCATCGTCGCTGTCATTGTTCCGAAATATGTTCATTCGTTTGTGTATACTTCGTCCGTTTGTTTCTCCATTAATGACTTGAATAATGAAAAAAGTTATTAACCATCCAAATAAATTATAAAATTATTTTATGTGATTGGATCTCTTTGTGCATCTTGGAAAATTTGCGAATTTTGAGATTTCGGATCTTTGAATATTTAGATTCTTGAAATCTTGTATTTTTGCATTTATTGGATTCTAAAACTTACGGATCTTGAGATAAATCCGTTCTGGAAATTTAAATTTTCTTATTCGTAGAAGAGTTCTTGAACCTTTGCTTTTTTTAAATTCTAACACATGTATTAATAAACAATTTCTTAGTTTTATTAGAAAATATATTTATATAAGATTTGAGAAATCAATCTTAATTAAAATATATTTTTTACTTTTCAATTCTGTATTTCTTTCTTTCAATACTTTGTTATCTTTTACTTTTACTTATTTATTTATTTTCTTGTTTGCTATCTCTTGAGATTTCTCAAATCTTTTTAAATCAAATATTACATGTCAATCAATGATCGATATTCGATCAATGTGCAATTATTATTTATGAAAGCATATGTATGCGTGTTTCAGGGAATATGGTTCGCCGTACGAAATCTGTGGAAGAATTGGATAAGAAGGAGCTTTGAGGGGAAAACTAAAGAAGACCGTTCGACGGTGAGCTGTGAACGTTAATGATATTTTCTAGTCGAATAAAACAATCGCGCGTAGAAATTCATGGGATGAATGATAATGCGTGCGTGGGAATTAATTACTTATGATATGACGTGGTGTAAATGTCTCCGAAACCGTTGTTCTTTGTTCCTCAGAATAAATGGATGTTGTTACGTTGTTACTACTTGAGTGATCCGCGGACGCTCCGATTTAGCGTTCGGTCAGGTTCGATGCGAGTCTTGCGTAAAAACCATTTATTGATTCATATTCATATACAATTATATTTCTACTCATTTTCATTTAATGTAGCTGTAATTTTATCTCGCAAAGAATGCGCTTGCAACGACATGTTTGCTAAAATACTGGTTTTAAATTTAAGACACATTACATATCTTCCTTGCACACGTGTGAATAAGAATCTCTTTATATATTAATTTAGAGATACAGAAGCAAAATACACACGTTTTTCGACTCTTTTTTTTTATATAAAATTGGATTAAAGGTATAGTCTTACATGTATCGTTCGTGAATGGAACTTAAAAGTAAATACTTAGTATTTTTAATTCCAAACAAAAGATAAATCCAATCGTTTGTCCGAATCTATATATTAGAAAAATTTACGTGTGAATCTCGCAGAACGGATAGAGGGACGTGAATTTCGTTTTTGTATCCATCAATTTAGTCTTTTAATAGTTTGCGTCGCGAATATTTGTAGACTGACCGAGTCTACACTAAATAAAATTGAAACGTCCGCGGTTGCCTGTTTATCACATTTTCCGCGAACGGTTTTCACTCTGGCATCAATGCGGCGGTCTCCTTGAAATCTATATACGGAAAGACGCTACAAACATCGTTGGGCGCGATTTGCGAACCTACCGGGCAATTCCACGCCTCGGCGAGGAGTACACTGTTCGATGCAGAGACGAACACGTGAATCCGGTTCGGCAGATTCTCGCTCTCGTGCAAAGAGATGTACGACGACGTGAGTGATGTCTTCGTGCAATATGTCTGCAATCGGCAAAGATAAATAAAAATTCAATAAGCGTTCATCCGGACCGAATCAACGATGGTCGGTTTCGGGGATACCGAGATACTTTGGATTTTATTATTATCCAAAATGTTTGAAGAGAATCCCCCCCTTCCCCTCACTAAATAAAACTATTGTTAATGTAAACCAAACTGTGAGAACAGTACCTGAGCGTAGGCGAGATAAAATAATTGGTTGATGCGGAGTTTTATCCACGGAAGCCTCCTTTCTGCATCCGATCTCGTAAGAGCCAAAGTATCATAGGCTAGTCTGAGTCCCATAATTTCAGACAACCGCTCGTTCAAGGTCAATCGCGGAATCTAGAATATTTCGACAAGTATTGATAATTTGCGTATGCAAATAATTCAATAAATTACGCAATTCGCAGGAAATGTCTTATTTTTAAACCTTATTACAGAATCTTTTTTAACCATGTTGTTTCATTATATGTATATATATTTATTGCACAATGCGATGTACACATTATGCAATATAGGATTAAGTATGCTGGAGAGTTAAGTATCCGTTTACCATAAACGATACTGTCTGATCGGTGAAGGGTAATGTCATGTTCATAGGTCCTTGATATAAGTTTTCCTTTTGACAGTTGATGTAATCGTCGAAGTTCGTGTCGGTGAATTCATTCTCATACATCAGGGAATCTTGAGTATTCCTGGTTTTATCCCAATAGTGTATACCTATGACGAAGAAACGAATAATCGAAAATCCTGATTACAAAACAATGTATAAATATTCGTTTATATAATTAGCACGTGCTTGTTTCATTTACCATTCGCATCGAAATGATGGGCGATCTGATGTGCTATTAAATTCCCAAGTGTCGCCAGCAGAAGATAATCGAAGGAGAGTTCGTCGTTTATCAAGGACCAATCGATGATGCCGTAGGGAATCACGACGAGGTTCAGGCCGTAGATTGCCTGGGCCTTCGATTGGAATGGCGTCGCATAATATGTCCAACTACACGTGATTTACAGAAATATAAAAATTTAGAAATCAACATTCTTCACAAAAGATTTTTAAAAAATTTAAAAATCACAGGGAGAGAAATCCAAAATTCTTTCTTTTGAGCTTCTAGATTAAATATTGCACAAATAAAAAAATCTAATAATATACTATCCATAAAATTAAATCTAAGATTTTAAAATTCTCAGGAGAAATTCCAAGAATTTATAAACTTCTGAAGAAACTGATGCTAGATTTATTAATAAGTTGAATTAGTTTTACTTGTATTTTACTTACATTTGCTTTGGATCGCCGACTTCTCTTCTTAATTCGGCATATAGTAGAGTTCTGTATCTTTTCAGCAGAATCATCGAATTATAGAAGTAATTGTCATACAAAATTATCTGAAATTCGATTTTCACTATATATGGTGTAATTAGGGAAACTAAATTCATATTGATAAATTTTCAATATGAAATCTTTTAATAATATTTTAATATTTTAATATTCATTTTAATAACGAATAGTAACAGTAAAAAATATTACCTGTGAGACATTATATTCATTGTATAACGAATGTCTGTTCTTGAAATAGGAAATAACAGGCAATGCAAGCTGCAGACTGTCGATTTTCTTCAGCAATCCTTGTAGTCCTTCCTCTCTGGCCCATTCTACTTCTTCAGTTTTTATCTTTAGCGTTTGTTTTAGCTGATTGAACATCTTTTTCGTCTATTAAGGGATATAATAAAAATTGTCAAAGAGAGTAAAAAGAAATAATTCATAAATCCAAAAAATTTGCAATTTTGTATTTAATATATTTTATTTATATTAAAGTTTACTCATACCATATTATTCATCTGTACTATTTCATGATCAGTAAAAGAAGATATATATAAACTGGATGCTTCCAGCTGTAGGAGATAGGTAGCAACTTGCAGACAATAATCTTTCATATTATTGCGCCTTGGTAGCACCAACTACAAAGTTTATTTTATTAGAAGCGGAACATTTTAATTAATAATATATTATAAAATCTAGAATACACATATTACAAATTAAACTTATATATAAATTGTTCAACAAATTAAAAGAGTTCACGTAAAATATCGTTAATTACCTCTTGATAAAGATTGTGTGCATATAATCCTAATATCGCATTGTTGAGTCCTGCAGGATCCTCTTTACTGAATTTCTCTAATTCGCGTAAACCTTTAATCAGTGCGGTGTAGAAATAAATTTGAATATTAGCCTCGCTGGTTATCATATCCATTCCTGTTAGCGAACGAATTAATTGTGTCCAATTCACCTGCAATAAAAAATTAAAAGAATAAGAAATCGCTACAAAATATAATTTAGAAGATTAAATATTTTTCCTTTTTGTGTATTCTGTTTCACAGAAATTATTAAGCTTTTCTTTTACTCTGACTGGGAGAAATTTCTCTATCACTAAATTTGTCTATGTTTTTACTTACAAAAGTACTGCTGCTCTGCAACTCGTCTAAACTGACTTTACTGTAGTTATTCAACACATATGCTTCCCGTATTTCACTTTTGGACGGAAAATGCTGCAAAATGAATATCATTTTATCTTTAAATAGAAACTGTTAGCTTTGTTAGATTTCAATTACCGAAAAGTATCCTTGCATTAGAGTAATGTTGATTGTATGAATAGTTTTTTCTATGTTCTCCTGTTCTAGGTAACTGTCATTTAAATTTTTAAAAACATTAAGCACTGTTAGAGCTTCCTTAATGGATTTCATAAATTCTTTTGTATTACTCTGAAAAAGAACGAAAATAATTATTTAATTATTCATACATTCGCTTCTATTAATCTATCGTATTCACTTCCTAATTTATTTTCATTGTTTATTTATGTTTCTCTTTTTACTAATCTTAAGTAATTTAAATAAAAGTTTATATATCAGCAGAAAATGTGGACTAAACTCTAAAAGATTAGATGATTTTTATAGAAAAAAATTTTTTTTCTTATTTAAAAAGATTTACTTTGTATATTTTTGATAATCTCAATAAGTTATGCATGTACCTTGCATCTTTTATAATTATTATATAAAATTTCAAGATCCACATATCGTCCTTCCGTCTCAACCTCGTTCTCGGAGCATGTATCCTCCTCCATGTATTTGAAAGGACTTTTATATGTTGTAGGACCTATTTTAAGCGTGAAACTGTTTCGACGATATTCATCTAATTCTGGCACGACGTCAAATAAAAGAGCACTGCAAAATAATCCTAATTTATAATATTTTATAAAATTATGAACACAAAATATGTCTTCGAGAACTTACCTGTGATGTAACATTAATTGCGCGAGTAATTTTGTAAAGCCTACATAACTATCAGACCATGTGGCATCTGTATAAAACTCTCCTATTCTTTTTAACGCATTATTTGCTGCAACAGAATTAATTAATAGAGTTAATGACTGTTCTTTGTAATTTTATTATTTTTATATTCACGTGAATTTTTATTTAAGATTATTAATTGTTTATTAGATATGTTTAAAAGTCTTTACCCATTTCTGCTCTTTCATTGAAGTTCACATTTCTTTCGTATTGCACACAGCTGTCATAGTACGTTGCAAAATTCGAGTACACGTTTTCGCGTTTCTCTTTTAACATCTGTCCTAAAGCATTTAAAATAATAATGTATTAATAATTAATATAATTTATTTATAATGTTAATTAATCAACATACTGGCAATTCGTTGATAATTTCTGAATTTTAGATTTCCATCTGTCAACTGCGGATCCGCTTCGAAACCACCGCAAGCATACTCGTAGAAATCTTCACAAGGATCTGCCGTGTGATTCATGTAGGATAACATTTTGCTGGCAATCTGTTTGCAGTGTCCTGTTTCGCAAATATTCGTATCCTCGTCAGGAAGTGTGGTCCTCACCGTTGTAAGCCTCGTCTCGTCCTGGTTTATTATGTTTGTCGTATAGTTGTCAAAAGCAAAAATAGCTATGTTTGCATAATTGTTTGTAGAAGATACATTGTATTCCTCGGTGACACTAGAAGTCACATTCTCATTTTGGGTTGTAGTCTTGCTATAGTTCTTCGAAGTCGCATTTGTCATGTCCTCAGTTTCCTACAAAGAATTAAATATTATTATAAATGTTGACATAAATTTTCTGCATATTTCAATTTATCATTACATTACGTTTCTGATTTTTGTAGTTTGTGAAAACCTCTCATCTATGGCTGGAGTATAATTCATTGTGGCAGAAGAACTCGTTACATTCTCATTAATTAATGTCGGACTATACTCTAGACCGGTTGTAGATTCCTTATAATTTAAATATGTTGTTGAATATTTAGTATTTCTATCTTCTTCAGGATTTGATTGAGTCGGCGATGTAGAAGTGATTATATCGTTTGTTGTTACATCGAATTTTGATTCCTCAGTATAATTATACAGATCGGAAAGATATTTAACATTCGTATTTTTTTCAGGATCGGTCGGAAGATTCTGCGTTGTAATATCAGTTACAACAGCAGCTTTCAATCTCTCGTATTTATTAGTAAAATTTTCGGCAGCATATCCTTCAGAATCATTGAATGAAGATGATAATGTTGGAGTTGTAATATTATCAATTGCGGTATCAATTTTTGATTTTTCTGTATTGTAATATATATCAGTCGTAGATTCAACGGATTCAACGGAAGACGTAACATTCTCTATAATGTCGACAGTTTTAACATTGTATTTTAACGTAATGTTGCTGACAATTGGTCCATTTGGCAATATTGAAGTTGTATCATTATCGATGATATTATCAGTTATAATATCATATGGCAATACAGTAAAATCGATGTCTTCTTCAGTAGTTTCTGTATAATGAACGATTTTTTTCGTCGTGGAAAAGTCATCAGTTTTTTTTTTAGGTACAGTCACAGGAAACATAATTATTTCACCCTCCGTCGTTCTATTCTTTTCAGAATAACGCTCGAAATGATGAGATCCCTTAATGTTCTTCTTTGAATACTCTTCAGTGACGACATCAATATTTTTCGTTGGTTTTGTTTTCTCTGTGTTCGTGGTGGATGTAGTTGTTCTTGGAGTTGTCAGAGTCGTTAATACAACTGTCATGATTGTGGAAGTCGTTATTGCCTCTTTCATGTGTTCTTCATGATGATACTGTTTAAAATATTTAATAAAATTATTAATTATTTAATAAAATTATTAAGTTCTTCTTGAGACTTATTGATCAAGATAGTGAACCCACATAATTAAGAGATGATTATTGAATGGTCAAAGTTTGCAATAGATATGTTGAATATTTATCGTTTTCTATTTTTCACACAATTTTCTGGTACATCTATATTTCCCCAAAGATATCTTAATCAACAGCATTACCTGTGGCTCATTTTCAATGTATTGATTCTTGTATTCTCTATGATTTCGCATTTTCCAGGGTATGCAGGCGAGAATAAGAATGAGGCACATAAAAAAGAAGATGAGCAAGGTGACGAGACAGCTTCTATACGATTGATCTCGTTGAGCGGCCTTGCCTTCCTCCCGATTGTTGACTTGATATGTTTTGCGAAAGGGCATGGTCTCTTATTTTTAATTAACTATGTATATTGATTTGCTCACAACTGGCAAATTTTTGATCGTACACCGTAACATGTACACGACAGACTAGCGTTGCGTTCCTTAATCTTCCAAAGATGCCGATTGCGGTTTTGCTCTGACCGCTTCCTTCCGAATATTATCGCACGAGGAAACTCTAGCGCGATAGAATTTCTAAATTAATGAACCAAAACTTTTCATTCGTTTACATAATGCATTCGACCTGAAGTTAAGGCGCTGTGTACAAATGTGAATTTCAGAAGTTAATAAATTAATTTGTGGTTTTGAGAAATTAATTAATACGAGAAGGAGAGAGCGCATTAATTGGAATTCGAATTTAAAGGAGAGAAATTTCAGGGACGGCAATAATAAAAACTTTGGCTATATTTCATAAAATTGATATTCTTTCTTAAAAGTTATTTCATATTTTTCACATATTTGTGTGAAAAATCTGGTAAATTTTTTTTTATTTTATAACAAATAAATTAAAAAGATGCCGCGCTGCGCTGAATGTTTCGTTATAATTCTGAGATACCATGCGCATACTTATATCTATTGTTAAAAAAATTTAACGAACAAAAGCGTTCAAAAGGATACTCGGAGTATCATTATAACTATAGCTGTGACTGTACGACGAGTTTTCTGATAGAAGAATCGAAATTGTGATAACGACACCGAACATCTTCGATGTGTGCGCGTATATATAAGTTATATATCGATAGAGCATTTATAATATAATTATCACAGATATGTAAACTACAAAATACCGTACGCGAATATAAAATGCAACTTACGTCTTCACCGATGATCCCATTGCACGTGCTATGACTTATCTACGTCCTAATTTGATGTACAATTTATAAATACGAATAAAAAATATATATATACATATATGCGCATGTATGTATATATATGTATATGTATTGCAAAACTCTCTACTCGCTTGCGTTAGACGAGTAGAGCTCTATGTTGTGCTTAAAATCCTCGAAGTTTATAACCGGCGAGTCGGCTCGCTCGTTTAATTCGCTGCCGGTCGGTTCGATCTTTGTAACGGAAAGAATGTTTCCCGTTTTCTTGCAAAATTCTTCATCGAAATCGTCAGACTTGGATGTTTCAGAGACAATCTGCAACGAGATAAGGAGTTTAAGAAATTAAGTGCAAAGAAAAGATAGAAAAAAAAAATTTATATACAATTTCAAAAATAAAAAAATAAAAGCGGAATAATTAATATCCTGTCAATAAGAAAATAATAAATAGTGAGATCGAAACGAAATTAAAAAAAAAATTTTTTTAAATTGAAAGAATTATATTAAAAAAGATATGAAGAATGATTTAAAATACGAATTACTTTTTTTTCTACTTCATCGGCTTTAATTTTTTCCAATTTTTCTTTATCGACAAGCGGAACTGCAGTCTTTGATAATGTTTGTCTCTTTGGGGTTGGTTTCCTTGGCTTAAACGATCCGGACGCTTTTTTTGGTAGCTGTGAGCTTGTGTGTTTCTTAGTCTCGCTCAATTGCTCGCAATTATGGGTAACCAGCTGCTCTTTAGTCTTAAAAGTCTGTGTAATAGTAATAATCAATTATCGAGGAATTAATCGATTAATATTTCGAATCGAAATGGGACTCACATGAGAGCAAATGTCGCACTTAAGACTGTGCTTATTCATTTCATGATGCTTGAGAGCCTGCGCCCGATGGAAATTGCGATTACAATGGCTGCAACTGAATCGTTTGACATTGCTGTGCGTCAACAGATGCCGTTTGAGCTTATCCGGCCGCGAGAACTCGCTCATGCAGCCAAGATAGCCACGAAACGGGCACTTGAGCCTTTTCGTCAGGTCATGAATCAGCATGTGCCGTCCCAAACGATCTTTTCGCTTGAATTTGGCCGGGCAATACTGCGAATTTAAATATAAACTATAAATGTTATTTTTTAAATTTACAATAAACAATATGCGGTCTTATTTTAACCAATTAATTACTCCGTACAATTACTTTTTTGCTTACCGGACAGGAAAAGGGTGTGTCCTCGCTGTGTATCAGCTTATGATTGGCCAAGTACTGCTCGGTTTTGAAAGCCTTGCCGCAATCCTCGCAGGCGAATTTCGCCGATGCCGAGTGGGTCTTGAGATGACGACGTAAAAATCTCTCGATGAGGAAGCTTTTGCCGCAGTGTAGGCATGCGTAGTCGTGCGTAGTAGTTTCTTGATGGTGTTGAAGCGCCTCGAGATTTGAGAACGATGATTTGCAGACCGAGCAGCAATAATACTTCTCCGTAGTCTTCTGTTTCTGGACGGAGTGAACGTACTGATGACGACCAAGATCCGAGAGGGTACTGAATACCTCGCCGCATACATGACACCGGTACTCCGAGCACTTGTGATTACGTGTGTGCTCCAGAAACTCTTCCAGCTCCGAGAACATCATGCTGCAGCTGCTCTGCACACATTTGTATACTTTCAGCGCTAGATGTGAGACGATGAGATGACCTTTCAGAGCTTTGTATGAATCGAATGTTTCCTTGCAGAATTGGCAGTGATATGTGCGGTCGATACTTCCATCTGGAGGCGCCTAGTATTTTAGAAGAAAATAATTAGAATAATAATATGAAAATATGAAAATTACTGCATGCTATTAAAGTTAAATCAAAAATAAAAATAAGCCCAATTGTATGCACTTAAAGCTTTGTGTTTTTTTTAGATATAAAATTAGGTTGTTTCAATATAATTTTAATTTTAATATATAAACCATAACAAAACTTGATATAATTTAAGGATTCAAAACGTTTCTATTCTTGTAATATAATGCATTTTTATAAAAAAAAAACTTCCTTTTTTACGAAAAATTCAAATAAAGATGTTTTAATTAATTAAAGATATTTTACCTCTGGTGGTAACGAGTGAATGGCAGTGCCAGGCCAGACTTTGTGCGAAGACATATGTTTCTTCACATTTGACTTCTGTGCAAATGCACGACCACACACTACACATTGGTAAGGTTTCTCTCCAGTGTGAGAACGTTCGTGCTGTTGCCAATAGAATTTCTTCGCAAATTGCTTGTTGCAATAGCTACACTTATACTGCAACAATGTAATCAAGTATGTATTTTACTATAAAAATGTACTTTCTTCTAATTTGTCAATTTATTCATTAATATAAAGAAAAGACGGAGATAAAAATTCTACAATTACATTTTATAAATTAATTAAATATTTAATAAAAATATATATTTATTATCTATTTTAATATTATAAAAAAATGGATCTTATAGGTTTAATTATTTCAAGTTATTGAAGATAACATCACAGTACATACTTTTAAGTTCTGTGTTTGACTAATGTCGTTTTCTACTTCATCGGGCAAATTATCCTGGAACGATACTTCGTTGTCCTCAATGGAGGGTTCATTGCCATCTAAGGGTGGTTCATCTGCCACAAGCGGTTCATCTGCTACAAGCGATTCATCTGCCATCGATGGCTCGTTATCCAACAAAGCGTTAGGATGTTCGGACTGGCTCGAGGCTCCTTCCTGCGGGCTGACGTCGTTTTGCAGTTGTATTGTCGGCACCTCGTTCGAATCATCCCTCGTCGTCTCAGCAAAAGGATTCAGACTTTCTGTGCTTAAGATGATTGGCACACTGAATGTAGAATCTGTTGTGAAGTAATTGGCAGCCTCTTGGTCCACACTATAACAATTGAATCAATTGAAAACAATGTAAAATATTTAATTAAGACAGTTCATATATAATTGCGTACTACATATTTATATATATATATAATTATTAATTATAGTAATGTCTTGCTACCTAAATAGCATATCTGCTTCTTCAAGAATAATAGGTTCTCCAAGCTGAAAGGTTTCCTGCGAATTATACTGTGAATCATCTGGAGTAGCATCTTCCACATGCATTACGTGACTTTCATCGTTTGTCAGGAATTGAGTCAGGTCCACTGTCTGCTCCTGCGTCTTTTGGTGCGTTCTCTTGTGAAGCACAAACATCTGCAGTGACGTAAACTGGCTCTTGCACTTGCCACATTGGAATATGTCTTCCTCATCCTGATCGATCGCTGTTGAGAAAATATCAACATTAAGTATTATGTAATATATATGAATATATAAAGAATATTAAAAGACATTATGTATGACAAGAAAATGTTTTCAGACATCTGCTTTGCGCATATATATACCTGACTGCTCAACCTCGGCTATCAAGGTCTGTGACTCCAACAAGGATTGTACAGAGGAGCCGTCTAGTGAGACATCTATAAAAACATTGAACAATTTAACAAGACTGAATACTAGCGACAATGAGCATTCCTGAGCATTGTTTTAAAATAAGATATTTCAAAAATGTTATTGTGAATTACTACACAAAATGTGTCAAGTTAAGATACAGTCAGTGTAATAATTCGATTTCTATTTAAAAAATTTTTCAAATTTACCTAAAATCGTAAAAGAGAGAGAGTCTAAATGTACGAATTTCCAAATGCACATAAAAGTTCCAAAAAACGAGGATGTCAGAAGCTCAAGAGGAGAATTGGAGCTTGACAAACGAAAAAAGTTGTTGACGTTTCCGGGATTGGTTAACCCCACCTATTTCGACGTGCCTTTACCTGTCAAAGCGTCGAGGATAGAATGCGCCATGTTTCGGAATCAGCACGTCATTTTAATATGGAGAAACGAAGGAACGAGGCCAAACGAAGGAACGAGGCCAAACTCTCTCGCGAGTCAGCGAAGGGACAATCGTCCAGGATGAAAACTCTCACATCCTTGGTTGCTGTCGAGCGGCGCACTGATCGATACCTAACCTCAAAGCTCGACATCGCGCAATAACGTAAACGTTGATTCTCAAAACTGTCCCTAAGCAAGCTTATGGCAATATTTCATGAATGCAAATTTCATCGCTCGATTTGATTGATTCAAACTAGGGAATTTTTATATAGGGAATTTCATATAGGGTATTTTTATAAAAATTATATATAGGGAATTTTTATAGGAAATTTTTGCATTCTTCAAAATTTGCCTAAAGAGCTTCTATATAATTATAGGTCCGTGAATAAAATATCGTATCGCGGCTCGCGGCATTTGATTCTATCGATTGACAGGTTAGATCGATTTGATATGTGTTTGATCGATTTATGTATGTCAGACAGCGGCTTTTAGGTTGGGTATAACCTAAGCTTTAATCTTTTTTCAATCTCACATTACAATGAGTTTTTGACATTATTAGAAAAAAGATATTTTTACAAATAAAAAAATGGCAGTATCCTTTTGCGGAAGGATTGTTTTAACGCAGCGGAATTTTTTGAAAATTCCGAAACGTCACGGATATATAGTCCTGTAAGTGTTCGTCTTCGTTATTTTACGCAGTAATTAAGCTTAAATAAAGTTCACATTTTTCTTAATAATTATTTCTATATCTTTGTTATTATATTTTTATATATATATTTTATACATATTTTAAATTTGTTTTTTTTTTATGTTATTGTATCTTTTATGTCAAGAATTCCAGAGATAGGCGAAGAATCGTCAGAGAAAAATCCATTATTGAAGGATGATAACTTACCAGAATTTAACACAATTACAATTGAAAAATGCACTGCAGCAATTGGTAAACAAACTGTCGAGTTTGAAGAAAAGATGAAAAGTCTGGAAAATGTTCAAAGTATGTGTAAAATGTCAAATTAAAAAGAAAAAGGGCAATCTGTTAAAAATGAGAAAGAATATTTAATTATAAAGTTGATATAGAGTACAAGTTAATAATTAACATTAGAAATTCATTTTACATGTTATATTTTTTAATATAATATGTTATCACCAAGAGGATAACAAATACCATTGCTCATGAATGATCTATTACTAACAATAATAATAATTTGACATATTTTAAATCAAAAGAAATATAATTATGATTTTAATCAATTTTTATAATTTATTACAGCAAGAAAAGACTTAGATATATTTAGGGATTGGTTAGATCCAATCGAGGATATATATCTTCCTCTAGAGACTACATGGGGTATAGCAAAAACTTTGTATTTTGGCAATCAGAGTCTGATGCCAACAAAATGCTATATGGGTATTCATGAGCGTGCCACAAGAGCTGTGGCTAGCAAATATGGCAGTGCACCACTTTTTAAAGCATGCAAAGAAGCTCTCGATAATAAGAACATCAAATTGACACATTCACAGAAGAGAGTGTTGACCAAATATGTGTTGGAGGGAAAATTGAATGGTCTACAACTACAAGATAACGAATTTGAGAAGTACATGGACGACTTGAACTATATTCTATCGAAAATTAAAGAATATAAAGCCAAATATGAGGTTTGTCATATAACCTGAAATAGATATAGCAATTATATAAAGAGCAGCTAGTAAAAATGTTTACAAAATAATATTATTAAAGATTTTTTTCATTTTATGTCAAAGAAAATAAAATTATGTTATCTGAATTTTTTATTATTTTTATCATTATAGTGCATTTCTAATTAATAAATGTTTACAACTTGTATATCAGGAATAGCAGCAAACTAAAATTTGATCGACTTTTTTAGAGTTCTACAGGCGCTTACAGTATGACAATACAAAGCAAAGACATTGTGATAGACTTTCCGCAGGACTTTGTTAGATCTATCGCGGCCGATCCCACGCGACCTTTCTTAGGGCCTTGGAAAATCACTTTAAGGCCATATATCCTGAAACCGTTTATGGGTACAAACATTCTTCATATTTTCATGAATAAATTAATCAAATATTAATGTTCTGAAATTTTAATCATCCGATTATAATCCCATTAGAGCATTGTCCTGATCGCAAATTAAGGGCAGCTCTGTACAGGCGAGCGTGACGTTGGAGGAACTTCGAGACAGGAGAATCGAGCAGGCGCAACGTTTAGGATATAAACACTTTGCAGAAATGAGTATGGAGACAAAGATGGCCGGAAATTTGGAAAATTTGTATGGCACATTGGAAACTCTTCGAAATACTGGTATAATCATCAGTTAATTTATCATACATAAGAAATATATAATACCAAAATAATCGGTAATTTATTACAGCTTTTATTGTAATAGAAATTTATATAGCACTTTTATTAATATAATATTTATAGATTATATTTATTATTGTCTATAATAAATCTATATGATAATTGATTAATAACATAATATTTTTGTGAAGCACTGCCTGTCCAGGAGCAAGAAATTGCAAGTTTGACAGAATTTGCAAATGAAAGAGGCTTTAATGATACTCTAAGAGTATGGGATGTTGCATACTGGAGTAGAAAACAATGTCGCAGCATATACAAGTAAGTAAATTAATCTCAACATAAGTTAAGTTCTATGTACAGTATATTAGAAGTGGCATTTATATCTTAAAGAATATCTTGCTTATTCAATATCATATGTATAGTATTTATATTCGAGAATATAATTATTTTTGAAAAGATTCGAAGTTTTCTGCATTATAAAATTTAAGTATTGTTAAAAATATTTATATTTATCATAATTCATTGAATAAAATATCGTTAAAAAATATTGTATTTTTGAATAATGGACGTTATTTTTAATTCCGCGCTCATTCAGTTGCAATGAGGACGAATGGAGATCGTACTTCCCGCTGCCGACTGTTCTATCAGGTCTCTTCGAACATATTGAAACGCTGTTTAATGTGAAAATTGTGGAGAGTAAGAAAGCAGACATTTGGCACAAGGATGTTCGATTTTTCGACGTATTCGACTTGAACGGATCCAGCGCGGCGCCCATCGCGAACTTCTACCTGGATCCTTATGCGAGAGGCACGGAAAAATATCGCAAGGAGCAGGAGTCGGGATGGATGTCGACGATAAAAAGCAAGAGCAAAATCGGTGATAGCACTCCGTTGGTCGCTTTAATCTTCAATTTTCTACCGCCAGTAGACGACAAACCCTCTCTGCTCTCCTTCAAGGACGTGCAGATTCTCTTCCAAAAGGTAACAGGTTCTTACATTGTTTTACGAAATCAATTAAATTTATATATATTTAATTTGTTAATAAAATAATTATATATATATTTTTTTCATATCTTTGCATGTTATAGTTTGGGCATGCCTTGCAACATCTCTTAACTACAGCCGAGTATTCGGACATTGCTGGACTGTCATTCGTGGAATGGGATGCAGTGTTCATTTGTGACTTTTTCATGGAAAACTGGTACGAGATGAAGTTGTTTTTCTACTTATTCTATTTGTTCAATAGCTTTTCTTGCATTCTTAATGCATTTGTGTTATAATTAACTGTCAATACATTGTAATTTTATTCAATTGATAAACTAATGTGTAACAAAGTTAATAATTTAAAAATGTCTTGTCCCCCTAAATGTTTGTTTGACAGGTTGTACGAACCATTCATGTTACAAAAAATCTCTGGACATTATGAAACGGAACAGCCATTGCCTGTTGAAGTTATCGAGGGAATTAGAAAGATGAGATCACATTTTGCTGGCTACAAACTATGTAAGGAACTTTATCTGTCGCACTTGGATTTAGAGTTGCATTCCAGGTAGGTATCAATTTGACTTGTAAAGAATCTTAATCCTTAAGTGAATCTCAAGTTATTTAAAAGAAATGTAACTTACCAAAAAATCTGCAGTGATAAATTTTGGGTGCCAATGATGAAACATCTGTGGCCAAAGTATTTTAAGTTACCTCTCGAGAAACGGGACGTTCACGTTTGTTCTTTCGAAGCTATATGGAGCGGAAACTGGGCGGCCGCATATTTCAGGTATCGTAGACTCGAAATATATAATTTATATATAATATATAATTTATACATGATTTCGCAAATATATTGATTTTAATTTCGTACAATTGATACTGTTGATGCAATCGTTATCTCGAATCTCACAGAATTTTTGTATTATTAAAATAATGAAAAGAACCTATCTATATAATCGCGATCGATATACTACATTTATAAGCATTATATTGTCAATTGTAGCAAGATCTGGTCCGAAATGATAGCTGCCGATTTGTATACGGCGTTCCAAGAAATTGAATTCGACGACAAGTTGCGACAGAAGGAAATGGGCGCGAGGTTCCGCGACACATTCTTGTCCTTGGGCGGTAGTTATCCTGCCGCCGAGGTGTTCAGGAAGTTCAGAGGTAGAGATCCGAGTCCGCAAGCGTTGCTGGACAATCTCGGATTAACTTCACAAGTAACTAAAGAAGCCAAGTGATACAATTAGGTAATTAGATAGATTGGTACTTTTTAGCAGAATGTAAAAGAATGAAAGAATTTTGTATAGTTACCTCGAAAATAGAAGAATTGATTGATGTAAAGTTGTGGAATTATGCAATAAATTATTACCTATAAGATATATACCCGAGAAATGTGTTCTTTTTTAAATTAAAAAAATACACGAAAGATAAATAATTTGAACAAAATGCAGGTTAATTTCAACAAATTAAAGTTAAATAATTTGAAATGCGTTATAAGTTGAATAAATTCCATTGCATTTCATTAATTAATTTAATTTCTCGATTATTATATTTTTATCATGATATTATATTTATATATAATTATATAAATATTATATTACATATTTATATTTATATTTATTATATTTACATGATTATTTATATTTCCATAATATGATTTATATTTACATGATTTCTATATGTATAGATTTGTCGGTAATAATCAATTCTCTCTTAACGTTAATAGATAAAGCAGTGTTTTACCGAACATTATTTAGAATTTAATTAACTTGTACGATAACAGATGGCAAAACAATGTATCTTGCTATGGCGAATTATTTCAAGTGCGTACGCAGACATTTAAAGTGATGCCGGAGTCCTGTTTTACCGGCCATAATAATTACACTTTGCAGACCGAAATTTTTTTATTGGTTACATGAAATAAGAAATCCTTTTCCACGATTAAAGTATATACATCAAATTCACCAAAGAATAATCAAGAAGAAATGAGGAAAGTCAGGCAGAATTATCGTAAGGTAATTAAAAATTGACGCAAACAGAATACATATGTAGATCACTTGATAAACAAGCATATCTACTTCCCGCTTCCCGGAAAGTTATCTGTTTCTCTTTAAACAGAAGATTGCAATCTCTTGAATTACACAGACTTGTTACGTTACTTTATATTTATATCATCCGAGAAAAACATTTTACAACCTGTTATACAAGTAAATTGTCGTAATTATTATTTTGTAGATTGCGTCTGAAAAATTGACAGCTTATCGAAGAATTTGTGGTTGACATGACATATTCTGTGTCTATGATATCTTGATAGAGTCCCACTTAATTAAAAACCGGCGAAGACAAACCGGAGACAGACCTTTTTCGTGTTTTTTTTATCGTTTTCGTTTGAAGTGCAACCTTATTCTCACCCGTTATAATACGTTGCGATAGGTAGGTATAAGGATTATGAGTCACCTTCTACCATATGAATACTAAATGCCTCGCTGCGTCATTATTAGGCGTCGCACGTGCAAAATTTATTTATGACTTCGTTAATCATGGTTATTTATAGCGTTTGAATTTATTTACGATGTCGATAACTTTTTATAAAACACATGATTAAATTTACTCTTTACGATCAGTTACGACGAGAATCTAAATTTAGCGCTGTAAAAATGACTGCTAATTTATTTTACTCGATATGGAAGAAAAACTGACCTATGGAAACAAGATATTTAAAAAAATTGAAAAAATAAAAAAATGTTAATATGTACATGTAAATGAATTGAATTGAAATCACAAAATCAATAGGAACAATTTTTTAGAAATAGAGAATAAAAGAGTGTATTTGAAAAAAATTTCTACCATAATTTTATTTTTATTTTATAATTGCATTATTTTTATTATTATTAGTCCCGATAAAATTGTAATTAGACCCAGGATAGTTGAACGCAGAACACATATGGAAGTGATTTTTATGAAGCGGGAAATAAAAATAATTTAAAATTAAATAAAACTAATAAATGCTTTTCTATTCGAATGTAGGACTCGGAGACGTGCAATTTTCGACGTTATAGTGTTCGATTTTCGCTGTGCCATGCAACACGAGATACGTAGAAGGCGACGACGGTGAGGCTTCCTGGAATGCAAGCTCGACGATGACGGTGCGGTGCGCAGCACTTTGCACCAGACTGTCTAATCGCGCCGAGAGAGCGGCGAAGGAGATTTCGACGAACAGGGGGGGATCGAGAGATCCGTGCCCCTTCAAGCCTGATGACGCGCGTTTCCTCGCCAAGCATCTTTGCTCGGTATATTATATCTTTTTATACTAGGTGGTCTCGGAAAGTCCACGCGACTTTAATATTATGTTGACTTACGTAATGTTACGTATTTCCGAGATAGCGTGTTCTCTCTGGAAGAAATATTATGAATTTTCTAAAGGAGAAGTTAGACCGAAATTATAATGTTGCAAGATTTTTCTCAGTTTACATTTAAACTATATCTTTTATTTTATTTTTAACGCGACTCTTTTATATTTGTCTTGCGAAGAAACTTGTTACAATGATCTAAATTCTAAAAAATATATATGTATTTTCTATAGTAATTATATATTGATATTAAATTATTAATTATCGTAGGCTTTCTAAAAACTATTACATTTATTTTATACATTTGTGTACTTATATTTAGTTCTATTATTTTATAAAATATCGCGTATTAAATAATTTTATTAAAATATTTTATTTGCAATTATATTTTGTTAATACTAAAGTATATATCATCGTGATTCTACTCTTCTGATAACAAAATGTGAAAAACAAATCCGTATATGATACCGATTCTCAGAAAAAGTTATACACGATTACAACACACATATAATCAATCATGCAAGTATCTAAATAAGTCACAAGAAAATATAAAAGGAATTTCATTACGCATAGTTTTATCTTCTTGTGTGTAACTTTTCTATATATTTCTGAGTGATTGTATATGTAGTATATTACGGAAAATTGTCAACATGTGTTTTTTGGCAAAATAATTCCCGTTAAATATTTTTTCACGTTTATTTGATGAATAAAAGGTAAAAGCACAGTGAAATATTTAAATTTTAAGTGAAAAGTTTAGTATTTTATATTTGTACTCGCATTATAATGGAAAATTATTTTTATTATGATTTAATTATATTGTGATTTCAATTCAATTTTTATTTACATTTATATTAATTTTTGTCATTATCTTTTTATTTTTCTAATTTTTAAACATCTTGTTTTTCACATCAACTCTTTCTTTTTATTATAGTTCTTCCTTTTAATAGAAATATAGTTTAAATATGTGTTATGTATAATCAATATATAATATTTATTAATATATAATATTTTGGAATTTGCCAAATTGTGACAGATAACGTTTGATAGATAATTTTTGTTCATAAAAATATCGGGCAAATGTCAACTTGAAACGCTATATAATTTGTTTTTAACGTTCCAATTTTATTCCGAAATAAAAAATGTGATAATTATGAAATTATACCTATGCCATATAACAATATATATATATATAACTATATTATTTTATGTTTGTTTTTAGAGTCATATAATTCGAAGAATTGGAGATATAAAAACTCAGAATGTGGGACAATTCAGAGGAGGATTTGAAGATGGAAGAAAGGCTGTCAGTTGTTTCATTGGCCGGACTGATCGTGAGACGCACCGTTAACTTCGCGCCGATCGAACGGATCCTCGTGCGGTACCTTACGACCTCGTGTGTTTACAACTCGTGTTTACATAATCGCACGTAAGTCGCGTGACTCTCTGCGAGCTTTCGACGACACGAATTGTAGCGAACTTTGCGAGGAGTGCGTGAATTGTTTCAATGGTGCGGCGACGCGCGAATTGTCAGAATGAGAAAACAGTGCGAGTGGTGAATCTGACGTGACGGTGTCGATCGTGAAAATCCCGCACGTGTGTGCAAATTTTATCATATATATATATATTTACACGAGGGGCGAATTTCGAAAAAAACGCCAAGTCTTCGTCCGCTGATAAAGATCGCGAGAGATACGAGTATATCCGAGTGGCCGCGAATTAATCGAGTTCCGATCGCGAGTGCCGGAGTGTGTTGATTAGATTAGATCGAGTGCTGTGCGGAAATAATGAAGACGAAGATGGAGATATCGACAACCTTCTTCATCTCGATACTGGCGGTGATCTGCCGCGGTAACGAGCTCAAGGATTATTGCTCGATACACAAGTTCGATAATCTACCGGGTGGTCTGAGGTTCACGAAGGAGGTCGTCACCACGGAATATGCCAACGTGGGTGCGTTCAAGGCCCTTCACTGCTGCCTCAGGGGATACAGGAGCATCGAATGGTGAGTCTTGATATATTCTTTTCTCTCGTACATTGATGGAGCGAAAATTCTGGCGCGTAAAATAATACATTGTGACAAATATAATAATTAAAATATTTTAAAATAATAACGAAAAATGATGGAAAATTTTGAATACATTGAAATAATATGGTAAATATAACAAATAAAAAAAATTATGTAATAAAAAAGATGTAAATTGTGGCAGTTTCAGAAATGAAAAATATTTTATTTGAAATTAAATTAATTAGAATTTTATTAAATTAATTGAAATATGTAATACACATGACCTGAATTTATAATTCGTTGAAACATATTTGTCATTTATTATCTCGTTGTATTTTTTAATGTTCTTTCGTAATAAATAAAATATAATTTTTTATTGAATTTTTATTGATTTAGATTTATTATTCCAAAAGAACTGTTGTTTACGTCTTCTATTGAATGCGTATTTGAATTTTTATTCAAATAGTGTACGAGATATATTTAATAATTTTGGTATAAAATCTATATTTTTGTTTTAATATTTGAGACATTTATACAAATATTATTTATTATCGGTTTAGAAATAAGCCTGAAATTTTTTTGGTGTTTTTGACACATTATATAATTATTTCTATTGAGTTATAAATAATTTTAATTATAATTATTCTTTTCAATTATTCTATTTAATTATATATATTTTATTTTCAATTAATCTATTTAATTATATAATAATTTTAACTATTAATAATTATTTGATAAATGAAATAAAAATTTTAAATATTTAGATAAAAAGATATGCGGTATCGCATAATTTCTCATAGTTACTTTTTGTTCTAATTCTTTCCTGAGATGATTTTAATTTTATTCCAAAATTCTTTCCTAATTATTTTAATATTTTTAATCTAATATTTAGAGAAATGTCTCCAATAATTTCGAAATATATATAATAGAAAAGACACATCGCTACGAATTTTTGCGCGGTCTCTCAGAATCCGTCTGTCATACTAATATATACAGGATACGTAATATTCTTTTTCCTTCGCGTTTCTCTCCCTGGAGAGCAAATGCTTTTGCTCGTTCTCCACCTTGCCGAAAGCATTTTGCTCTCCCCCACTTCTTTATTCGCATACGATCCGATAGGTGATAAATGCGAATGTGAAAAACGAATCGAGTGCTGCTTTCGGCACAAAGACTGCCAGCGGAAAGCATTTCGCATTATGCGAATGACATTTTGCTTTTAGCGCAAAGTATTCGCTTTATGGCCGAAGAGCACCTGCTTACATCTTCTGTTATCGTTGTATACGACGCGTATCGATAACCCGTTCACACAACCGAGAATACCTTATACAGCTCGATTCTAAAACAAGTCGCCGACGTAGGCGACTAGAATTTTTTTTTCTCTTATTTTTTTTTTTCGCAACCTGTTTTTATATCATGTGTCTTGATAAGTCTCTTGAACGTCAAAGTTTTGCGTTGAAGTAGATTTTACTTGGAATTAAATGTGCGGAGAAAAAGATTTTCTTATTTATTGTTTTATTATTATTTATTTATTATTTTGTTATTTATCTTTATTCTATTATGATAAATATAATAATTTAGATATCTTAAAGTAATAATGAAAAATAATGGAAAATTTTTTGAATACTTTATGATAATATAGTAAATATAAAAAATTCATAAAATTAAACTAATAATATAATAATTAAACTAAAATATTAATTAAATTAAATTTAAAAAATAACTCAATTAAAGATCTAAACTCGATCAAAAAATCAAAAAAGAAATTCAAGCCGCTTTTATAGATATATATAAAA